ACTCCCACTGTCGCATTTGAAGATGTTGCAACTGCCTTCACCGAAGAAGCCAATTGTCAAAGGGGACAACTAAAGTTAGCATGGCCAGGATCAGAGTACTCTAATGCTGTTGCTCCTCCTTCGTACGACCGAAAGGTCAACTCATCTAACGGTGTGCGCATCCATAAGCATAACCCCAAGGGGGTGCCTTGCGACAACGCTGCATGCAGCAGATTACCTCGCTCGATGACCCATGATCGTGAGCACTGTCTGCAACCAGGTGGAGGAATGGAAGGTAAAGTGCCGTGGAATCAGCAGCGGGGCAATAAGAAGAAGGATGTTGCAGCAATCACCACGGAAACGAAACTGGCAATCACTGCTCCCCCCACTACCACGACGACACCTTCGACATCCTCCGAGACCACTGCCCTCATCATCAGCACTCCCTCTCAACATCGTCAAGATTGGTCTTGCGCAATTGTTGAAGAACTCGACCCTAGCTGCAGACCATCAATTGACGATATCACCTGCATCGTGAGTCAAAGACTATCCACGATTCTCGACTCAGGAACCACCTCCACCCTCATCACTAGCAGGAAATACTTCTGGACCTACGATGCAGGCATGAGAGTTAGCATGAAGACCGCAAATCACGGGACCCTCTTTACCTCTGGATGAGGGGACTGCGTAGCCGATTTAACTGTAGGAAATCGCACACAACATCTTCGACTCAGTGATTGTCTACACGCGCCGGGAGCCTTAATCAATTTGATGTCGGTAGGACGGATGCTCAATAAAGGCTGGGAATGCAATTTTGAGCCTTCGCCTCCACGCTGTCAGCTTACTTTCTGCAATGATGTCCTTGGGGAGGTTCCTCTCAATGGAAACCTCGTCTTTCTGGACTTATGGTTCATTCCCCCATCAGAACCCTCCCCACATCTGGAGATCTCAGCTTTTGCCAAAGTCCCACTGTCATGGGACTTATGGCATGCACGACTAGGACATGTTGGAGGAGAGGCAGTGAAGTGCCTGCCTCACTTTGCTAGGGAATCAAAGTCGACTCAGCTCACCCGCTCCGGACTTGCGAACCCTGCATCATGGCCAAGCACCCACGCCGTCCTTATCCATCTTCAGATTTGCCACATGCCGAACATCCTCTAGACTTAATCCATTTGGACTTATGTGGACCATTTCCCATCGGCACTCCCCATAACAAACATCATTTCATCATCTTCCTCGACGATCACAGTAACTTCCTGAATCTACAACTCCTCGCTTCCAAAGACCAGGCCCTAGAAGCCTGGGAAGTCATACGTAAGCGGTGGGAAAATCATTCTGGACAGCGCATCAAAGTCTTTCGCTCCGACAATGGAGGCGAATTTATGAGTCACGCATTCACTCAGGCGCTCGCATCTGCTGGCATAGAATGTCAGCTGTCTGCCCCATATGCCCACCAACAGAATGGGAAGGCTGAACGTGCTCTACGCACAATTGAAGGAAGGCTTCTGTCACAAGTTCCAAATACAAATCATTATTCATTCCTTAATTCTAAATCCTTTAAGCGCCCAGTCACAGTGCCTGTTCCTAAGAATATGTTTACTGTTGAAGAAGTTCCTATTATTGCGTCTATTGTAGAGTTACCAGAGTCACGTGATCTATCGGACAATGCCGAAGATGTTGATGTCATGCCTCGCGATACTCTTGGAATGTTCCAGAGTCTTACTGCGGCTGTGGCACATGTTATGACATCATAGTTATATATAGAATCATATGATACCTTTAATTATTCTGATTGGTTAGTTAGTTCATACTCAGTTTCGATCTCAGTTTCAATATGTGTATATAGGAAGCTCATCATAGTCAGTAGTTCTTTAGTTCAAACCTCTTGTATCTCCAAGTGAGCAATACCAAGACGTACCTGCTGCCTACCTCCTCTGTGTGATTATTCTGTTGTTTGAGTCCTAGTCTCTTCCCAGTGTTAATTCGTTATTGGGTTGTGACAGCTTCTCACAATGCTCGAAGTGGCCAACTTGCCCCCCACGTTATGGGGAGAAGCTGCACTCGCAGTCTATTATCTGTGGAACAGAACGGAGTCTTCTACCTTGCCACCGGGAGTCACCCCTTATGAAGTAGTCAACAAACGTAAGCCAGACCTATCTCATCTCCGTATATGGGGAGTACGCTGCTTTGCGCGCATCCCCACAGAGTTACAAGTCAAACTCGGGCCACACTCTCGCATCGCCTACTTCATGGGGTACCCTGAAGGGACAAAGGGGTACCGTCTTCACGATGCTGACACTGGCACGTTCTTCAATGCCAGGGATGTGTACTTCGACGAGAATCTCCCGTCTGTCTCTCACTCTTCGACTCTCAATGACAGCGACAGTGACGAAGAAGTCTCTCCCTCTCCTCCCACGGCTCATTCACCTCCTTCTGTTCAGATACCTCCACCTGTCGCGCACTCACCTCCCATGAATCGTCGCTCCTCTCGTGTACGTGTTCCCACAGCAGCAGGTCAAGTCTATGCAGCAGAATTGGCTGCATCCAAGACTCATTTGGAGTCTCTCAGAGAGGCTCGTGCTGACAGAGCATCTGCTATGGGGGTGCCAGGAGCATCCTCAGAGGCTCCGGATGCTAATAGTGAGGGGGTGGACGCACCTGGATCAGCGTCCATCGAAGGAGTTGAGCCGAACGCAGATGTCCCCAAAGTCATGACAAACATTGTTATTGAGGAGCAGACTAATATAGTGATTCACAGCAACCAGAAGTGTAACCCATCCAATCCTGACTACAACATGACCATCCCACCAGCTACCTACGACGAGGCAGTGAAACACCCCGACAGCGCCAAATGGCTGGCCGCAATGAAAACGGAGTTACAGACGATGAAAGAAATGAAGGTCTACCAGGTGGTGGCCCTCCCACCAGGATGAAAAGCCATAGGCTGCCGGTGGGTGCTACAATTTAAGGAAGATAGCAAGGGAGGTCCGGTCGAGAAGGCGCGCTTAGTAGCGCAAGGGTTTTCACAGGTCCCAGGAATCAACTATGGTGCAACGTTCACCCCCGTCATTAAGACAGCTTCCATACATTTCATTGCAGCCCTCGCCTGTCGCAACAACTGGGAGCTGGACACCTTCGACGCTTGTCGAGCTTTTCTCTGGGGGATCTTGAAAGAAGAAATTTACATGAGGCAGCCAAAGGGATTCGAAGAGGAGGACTGGGCAACACTCGTCTGGCTAATGCTCCGCACTATCTACGGCCTCAAACAGTCCGCCATGGAATGGTACGAGCAGGTGCGCGCTGTCATGCTTGAGCTCGGCTTCACGCGGTGTGCAGTTGATCACGCTGTTTTCATCTACAACAAAGGCAACTCCAACAGTCATGTCTATTGCATTGTTGGTTGGCATGTCGACAATGGTATGGGCACCTCTAACTCTAAACCATTCCTACACTACGTCAAAGGACGCATCACTCAGCATTTCGGCATCAAAGACTTAGGTCCCATCCATCATTTCCTCGGCATACAATTTGAACGTGACCGCGCTACTCGCCAATTATGGATGCATCAAGGCGACTATATTTCCTACTTGCTTGGGGAATACGACCTTCTCGACTGAAATCCAGTCCACCTTCCCCTCGACTCTCATCATCCTTTCGGCCGCGACACAGACACCTATGATGACATCGTGAATTTGCCAATGTGGTACCGGAAGATAGTTGGGGAGTTGTTGTATCTCGCGGTCTGCATGAGGGCAGACATTGCTTTTGCTGTCAATGCCCTCGCTCAACACAACACGTAGCCATCCCCCCGATACTATGCTGCAGCTAAGCGTCTTCTTCGGTATCTCAAAGGGACAGTGAACCTGTGGTCCCATTTTGGAGGAGAACGAGCTGATGAAGGTCTGCACGCATATTGTGATGCAGACTGGGCGAGTTGTGAGGAGGATAGGCTTTCAATCTCTGGCTACGCTTGGTTTTTTGCCGGCGGCCTCATCGCTCATGTCTCTAAGAAACAAACGACACACGTGCTTTCATCCACCGAAGCTGAATATATGGCCGTCACTCATGTCCTGCAAGAAGGACTCTGGCTCAAATCTTTCGTCAGCGAACTTCACATTCCCTTATCCTTCCCTCTCGTTGTCCACATGGACAACACAGGCGCCATCTCTCTGTCCAAAGAGGCTCGGAACCACATTCGTTCCAAGCACATCAACATTCGGTATCATTTCATCTGCGAATGGATCGAGAAAGGCATGTTTTTGCCCCAATGGCTCCCCTTGCACTGCAATATTGCGGACATCCTCACTAAAGCGCTCGTGAGGCCTCTGTTCCTCAAGCATGTTGCCGGTTTGCATTTGATATCTCGCTGAGGGGGTGTATTGACAGTTGTTGATGTGATTTACCTTTTAGACATCTTATTACCTTCTTGTCCTTATCACCATTGACACCATACGCTGCACTTGTCTTCTAGACTTCTTGCTTCTTGACCATATGATCTTTCCACTACTCCCTTCGCCGGTTCATTAGCTAAGCTCACCTTATCTTTCGTATAAAGACCGTGCTGGCTCGTAGTATCACCTCAGTATTGTTTCATGCATACTGAGGTGTGTATTTCTCTTCCCACTCGTATCTCACTCTTGCTCATGTATCCTAGCATTCCTCCGCTAGGTAGATATCAATTTAGTATTGTTTCACGCATACTGAGTGTTCCTCCGCTAGCGCGTATACAGTACACTCAGCTCTTTGACATAACATAACCTGTAATTCATCAGAGACAGGCCAGGGTGATGAGCATGAATCACGGAGCAGGATGGTCAGAGATTTCATGCCACTATCAGGGCAACCATGGTGAAGAAGAGTGGAACTTCAAGAACAAAGGTCGGGGAACATGTTATTTGACTTTGAGCAGATATGTCAGTGTAGCTCGGGGGCGGAGATCAAGACTGGAAAATTGCACTGAGTCAATTATGAAACACAAGAATGCGCATGATAGCAAGACTACTAGATGCGATGCTCATATTCTATGGAAGAGCCAACCATTTCTCGAGCAACTTAGGAAAGTTGAGAGTACCAAGACCAGTAACTGGATCCCATCCAACAGTTGCATTGTAGCCTTCAGCGCCACAACCCGGGTTTGACCCTTCAGTAATATCATTGAAAGCGCCTGTGAAATCAGCAGAGTAGATCTAACATCATAAATCATCAACTGAGGCAGGGCAAAGGGGAAGCGACATACCATAGGGTTAATGAACCCAATTGGGCTTTTTCCTATCGTGAGACGGGCATTGTTGATCATTGTAAAGATGGTGCCACTAACTGGCAAAGAACAGGAAGTTCTGTACACAAGCTCAAATTCACCGTCAATGGCAACAATGTAGTTCTGACAAGCATAATAGACATCAAGCCTCATATCTGTGCAACTTGTGGGAAACACTTACAGCTCCATTGGCAGAAATGTCAGCCAAAGCATGAGACTGATGCAGATGATTGATTTTACTTGATTAAACATATCAGATTCACTGACACTTACCATGCCAGTAGAGTTCCAGATATTTTTGGGATAGTCAGGAGGATAATTCTCCAGATAGTAATCGACAGCGGTCTTCTGATGTGAGGGCATTGCGAAATAGTTACTGAAGCCTCTGCCCAAGTGACGTCCATGCAAGCCATTTCAGGTTGAGCCTCAAGGACACTTGCACCTGGCTTGACCATGGTAGCACCAACAGATGTGATGTAGGGGCAGGTACCAGGGAAAGTGGGATTGAAGATTGTACCATTTGTGGTCTGGGTGCCTCATCAGTGAACTCATGAGGAAAGTACATAGCAATAAATAACAAGATATAGTACATAATTACAAGAACTAGCGTAATTTTGCTATCGACAATCACATTGTTATGTTTGGCCTTATAGAGGAAAGATGCTTCCGTGATTTTCGTATAAAATTTTATGAAATGCCATAACAAAAGGGAGGTTCACAACTCCGAAGCATCAACTAATTGACCTGATGTGTTAAGACCATGCACAAAGGGTAGGACTGATTCTGAGGGGCTTGGCTTCAGCTCGTGCGCTGCGCCCCTTACTCGAGTATGTGCCCTTAATTTCAGATTGGTGTCCGAAGAAAGTCCGAAGACTTCCGAAGGCGCAGGAAACTTCGGAAGGACTTTCCGGACGGGTACAAGTAACTTCCGGAAATTACGATGAGGTTTCGTCCTGATACGGATATGTATAATGGCTACTCAGGACTTGTCCTGAGTAGAAGCAAACAGAGGAAAGGCTGCAAGGACAAAGTCCGAAGCAGAATAGGTCCGGAGGACTGCGGGAAAGTTCCGGACGAACTTCCGGAACTTCGGATGAGTGGAGGAGCAGAGGAGCAGAACTCTGGCCTAGAGAGAAACTCCCTAGGCCTGAGATGGATATCAACTAAGTTGGAAGACTAGAACTGATATGAGGACTTAGAGTGAAGACTAGTGCGAGGACTAATATGATATTCAGACTGAGGTACTACAAGACATATACACGAGTTTATATACTAAGAGAAATAACGGAAGGATCAATAAGCAGAGTCTGAGGCTATGTATGAAGCATATGCAAAGGTTAACAAATGCGAGTCAGAAATGAACATAGGTTAATGGATCAGTAAGCATACCAGTAATAGATATAACCGAAACAGTGGAATAGAGGAAATACCGAATAGGCTGTGTATAACGTTATAAGAACAGGAAATGAATTAGGAAGCTTATCTATATCGGATCGGAAGCGGATCTATACATCGGATTGGACCAGATCGGATATGGTCTGGATGAGATGTGTGGATATATAGGATGTGGCATTAGGGCGATGGGACAAGGATGAATGATGCAGGCTAGCTGCGAAGGATAAGGGATCTGGACGTGGACATGCGGATGTAGATGTGCAGAGGTGCAGGGATCCGGATGGGTACTGGAGACATGGATAGCACATCCGAAGGTCCGGATGAGGCGTGGGAATATTATCGGATGTAGGTCCGGAATACGGGATATGACACGATGTAGAAACAACAATACTGAGAGGAACAAATGAGGCTCCTAGCTGTATCTATAAATGTTGTGAGGTCGCGCGTTGCCTAGTCTGCTATTCTTGAGACGACAAGTGCGTTCGACCCTAGGGGAAGCGAGTGCAGCAAAGATCTAGAGGTACACGCTGAAGCGAGGCGCGAAAAAGCGCAGGTGCGCGCAAGGTACGAAGGCGTGGGAACACGCGCGTATGCGGAAATTGATAAAGACTAAGCTTAAGTGATAATATGATGCAAGGTAGGAGAAGAGAGATGCAAAGTGTAGACAAATAGATTTCTACTATACTCTGCTAAGTAGTAAGTGAGTAGTAGGAAAAGTAAGTTGTAAAAATGGAAAGTTAGTTGAAAAGTAAGTAATAGTATGCACTGCTGGCGCTTATATAGCGCGCCTAAGCGTGGTCATGCGGAGCCGAAGCGCTACCGAGTAGGTATGTAAGATATATATGGGTGAGAGTCCATGATAAAAATAAAGATGGAACAATATGCAGATGAGAGAAATAGAAATATACGCACTAGAGAATATGGTGGACAGTGGATGGATGCATCTGGATGGCTGGCGCTATAGGGCACTCAAGCACGGGAATGGTGCGCGCATGGTGCGCGTTGCGCGGGAAAGTTGCGCCTCATATAGGGATAGCTGCAGGTAGCGCACGGAGTGACACTACAAGTTTGTGCTATGTACTCCTTGGTGGGAACTGCCATATCACGCCATGAGAGGCATGATTCTCTACACTGACAATATAAAGCTTTGCAAAGCTTTATCTAACATAAAATTTATATGGTATCTGTCAGAATGATACTACCTGGAATAAGTTTAACAGAACTACCTAAAACACCAGATTGTCACCACTCATTGTTTCTTAGCACTCATTTTATGAAAAAATTCAATAAAAATCAATTTTATTTATATTTGAATACATATGTAATTACATGATACATAATAAAAAAGAAAGATGCGGAGAGGGAATGGTGACAAGGAAGAGCCAGGATGGGACCATGAGGGAGGGCCAGCAAGGAACCATGAGGAAAGACCAGGGAGGGACCACCACAAGGAAAGGCCAGGGAGGGACCACCACAAAGGGCCAGGGAGGAGCTGCGAGGAAAGGCCAGGGAGGAACCACCACAAAGGGCCAGGAAACCACGAGGAAATCCAAAAGGCCAGGAAGGGACCACCACAAAGGACAAGGGAGGAATCACAAGGTGATTCACCGCGCTTGAGAGGGTGGTGGTAGTAGCAGTGAAATGAAGTTGAAAGGAACTTGCGTGAAATTTTCTGTCCTTGCACAAATAATGAACAAATAATGACAAATCAATTTCAACCACTTGCGCTGCTCACATGATTTGGGGTTAGTCACCTGCATGACCTTGTAATTCACGCAATATTTGAATCAATCTATATAGTTTTGTAAGTCAAATAAAAATAAGGTAATATGATGTTGCTCAACAAACGGTATCTAATTACACTATCATACCTCGCTGGTTGAAACTTTCATAAGAATATAAATAGGGTTACAAATGCTAACGGTTCTTTCCACAATAAAGTCTTATATTACTAGGTAGTTTAAAACATAAATGAAGGGAAATGGTATGAGTCAACAAAAATGACTTAACTATGCAATTTGCACATTGATTGCTGCGACGGCACAACATTGTGATCTTGTTGTGAACTCCTCATAGGAAACTTAATTTTCAGACATACATCGCTATGTACCAATAAATCAAATTTGTCGTGGTATACAGTTAATCACGGGTCATTGAAACACATCCTTGTTTACTCAAGAACGACACAAAATACAAGTCTCAAATGATTCGGAATACATAGAGATCCTGTAGACCTTGTTTATTGTTGAGTTTGAAGTAAACTCCATTTGAGAAATTGCTGGAGGCAGAAAAAATGAGTGCTTACACAGCACCAAATCGAACAGTTTCAAAATTTCACCATTGAGTCTCGACTCAGAAGACTCATATTTTACCAAAATATTGCATGTGTCGAGTGCAACATCATGTTGGCTACACAGAGAACATACTCTTGTTGAAATTTGAGTGATATAGCACATGGTACGGTCTAACAAAGGTTTTTCAGCATCCACTGTGACAGGCCCACATGGCATTCAAGATCCGAACTTCCGAATTATAATTCCACTCAGTGAATGAACTCGGCTCGCTGTGTATTCACCTTTCCATGGCTGGGCGAGCAAAATCTATAACTAGGAAGCAGCAAGAAGCTCACCAAGCACACAATGATCTTATGTTTTGAGCAGTGTCTGCCTACCACAGAGAACTTGCAAAAGCACCAGGGATTCGACATTGTGGAGCACAGACCATATGCAAAGATTTTGAGCAGATTAATCTGCAGTTAACGGGCAAGCTCATTAAGCTCTCATATTGCACACTGATCCGGCTTGCTGCAGGGGGCCGCAGTAAGGCAGAGGCTAATGCGGCAGACAAAAGCTGGCTGATGGAGGAAGAAGCTGAGGTTGTTCTATCATTTACAGAGGAAACAGGAAACCAAGGCTTCCCACTTAGCCACCGACGACTACGAGAGCATGTTGATGAGATTCTACGTGCACGGCTTGGAGATACATTTCCTGGTGTTGGCAAGCATTGGTCATACCGGTTTGTTGAGAAACACACTGACCGCTTGAAGACCTCATGATTGCGCTCACTGGATTCGAAATGTGGGCGGGCAGTAAACCCCAATACCCACAAAGAGTGGTTTTCACTGCTGGGAGCTGTCCTGGAAGAGAAGTGCATTGATGAAGACTGTATCTATGCTGCCGACGAGATTGGTATATCACCTGAATCGGGAATGCGCGAATATGTTATTGGTGGTCACAAACCTACACCCCAATATCAGCAATGAACCAGAAGCAGGGAAAACATCACTGTCATTGTAACCATCTGTGCCGATGGTACCTCAATTCCACCTGTAGTCATTCTGAAAGGCAATGCCTATCAGACGAAATGGCATCAAGAAAATCCTGCAAACACATCGTAAGTGTTCATCATATAACTCGAAAATCACAATATAAATCAAATTGCAACACAGTATTGGATACTCTAAGAAAGGCGGGACTGATGGTGAAATCGGCGTGGAATACATCAAAGATTTTGATAAATGCACAAAAGGAAAGGCCAATGGACGAGACCAGCTACATATAGTCGACGGTCATAATTCGCACTACACTTTGGGATTCTTGAAGTACGCACGAGCTCACCAAATTCACGTCATATGTTATCCCTCTCATACAACTCATGTATACCAAGGACTTGATGTTGTGGTATTCACAGTGCTGAAGAAATGCTGGAGTGAGGAACGAGACAAATGGGAGAGAGAAAAGGGCGAGGGCATTACAAAAAGCAATTTCATCACGATATATGGCCATGCTCATCTTTGAGCACTGACCCCAGATCTAATTCGCACAGCCTTTCACAAGACTGGTGTCTGGCCTTTCGATCCCACTGTCATTAGTGAACAGATGATGGCACCGAGCAAAGAAACTTCCTGCCAGGGCCATCTTCCCATCATGCCTTCGAGTCCTATTAGAGCTGTTGCCGACTTCCTGCAGAAATTAGCAAACACAGATAACGTGGCTTCGGAGGCACCAGATGATGTTAGTGTCTCAGATGCACGATCCAAGTCAACAACAACTTCAGATGTCGAACTGCTGGTTCAGCAACTCAACAGGGCATCATTATCAGACATAGCATCCACATCACCTGCAACATCAGAAACTCGACTCGATCATGCCATCATTTCTCCAATCAAACAAAAGCAAGGAGGTGCTCTCGACATTCAGCCTAGAACACACAATGAAGTACTTCTCCTTGCCGCACTTCACGAAGCGGAATCTGCAAATGCAGCTCTCAAACGATGAGTAATTGAGCTCCAGGCAACCAGTATTCTCAACCAATTGTATTGTTCACAACTGTGCGGACAACTAGCAAACCAAGAGGCAAAGAAGCAATTGAAGAAGAAAAATGGCAAGCTGATGAGCGACAGCTTGCCTCAATTATTGTCCAGCGACAAATTTTACAAGAGGGTTGTGAATCACGAGAAAGAGCAAAAAAGAATAGCAGATGATAAGAAAATGAGAAGGGAGGAAAGGGAATGAAGGTCCGAGGCTCTGGCCACATGGAAAAGACTTGAAGATGTGAGAAAACGGGAGAACAACGAGCAACGCACTCGATACCACGAAGCAGTAGAGATCTGGAATGAGGAGAAGTCAAAGGCCAAGCTTTCAAAGCAGAAATTCACCTCAAAGAAACCAGTTTTAGGAAAGCTACAGCCTCCTGTTCTAAGGCCAAGGTTCAATACCTGTGAGGTGGATGATAATGAGAGTGCAGAAGATGTTATGGCGCCAGATGAGAACAGCTCAGAGGACAGTGACGACGAACGATAAGGCTCAGTAGATAGCTTACATAATGTCGGATAAGGAAATCATCACGTGTTTCATTGAGTGAGAAATCCCAAAAACAAGGTCCCCCTACTATATTTACCATGGTGCTCAAACTACTAGGAATTTACTCATAAAAATTATATGGATCTATTCATGAGATGTCTGTCTATACAGGAAAAATACAGTAGAGCCTCAGAGTTGTGATGTGATGGTGTAGTACACTAAATATGAATTTCATGTTTCAATGACCTGTGATTAATTAACTGTACATACCCATAGTTAGCCTAAACAAAATGATATCCTACTGTAGTTCTCACGGCCACCATATCATGGACTCATCAATTCTCTGATGCTGTTGTTGTGAGAGGATAAAAGTAAAGATTAAACACAAGGTATACCATCGGGGTTCAAGCAGTAGTTGCCATGACCAGCAACACCATAATCTCCAGAGCTGTACAGGATGGTGATATCCATCAAGCCAAGCTTCACATACTCTGCGCACTGGTGCGCAGTATAGAATAGGGTGAGATCAGCCTTATTGTACCCATATGATGTTGATATAACATTGGTGGGCATGACAGTGCCACAGTCCTCAGGCCTTATCACAACATCCAAGTTTATTGTATTTAAGATCCAACAAAGATGGGGACTTACCCTCATAGCCCCCTCCATATGGGTCAGAATATTGGGCATCCTCGGTGTAATCATCACCACCCTTGAACATGCAGTATGACCCATCAATGGCATCGAGAAAGTTGTTGAACAAAGCCCCTGTCAATGGGGTTAGTGATATGTTTACGATGTTTCTTCTTTTCTCATCCTACCTTCCACCATGTCACCAGTCTGGTAAAGAGTGACATTTTGCTTGCCAGTGACCATTGTCATTCCATATTGGAGATCAAGATTTGACTCACCATTGTGGTTGAAACTTTGGTACTCGGTCTGTGTGTACCCTGCAACACATCCTCATGGTTTGATCAAAGAAAAACACTTAAAGTAATCACCTCCATCAATGGAAACCATGGCTGGCTTCTTTCCGATGAGATCAGTTGAAAAGTTCATCACGAACATTTGCAGGTCAGATTGCAAGTATGTCTGAGGAGTATACACCTGCTCCTGTCATTCTGATGTATCAACCATGACAATTGTCATATAACCCTGATACATAAATGCTGTAATCTGTCATTCTCCAGGAGCGATGTATCAGTACAGATCCTCCAGCAGATACCAGCACTGGCTGATACATCAGTGCAAATCCTCATTTTGTGCTCTAGCACAGCCTTTTACAATGTCACATGTTCGCATTTTTAGTCATCTGGTGTGTGAACTTCTCCACAACACCAAAAACATAGCCTATTTTGGATGTCTCCACAATATGAAACCTTCCTACACTCTTCCCAGTCAATCCCTGGCTCACTATAACACCACAATTAGATACAGCTTGTAGGTAAGTGGTATCATATGTTATATACATATAATAGAACATAATAGACCACTTTTTCTGTCTATTTTTGTACTAATGGCTGCTCCAGGGCCTCTGCAAATGTGATATAATATAAAACATATCAAAAACAATTTCGCAATTTTGACCATTTGGTATTGGATTATTGGAGAGTATTTATAACATATTTACCAACATATATGAAGCTATCCCAGCCCTTATTTGACCTCCTAGAGTGCCCTACATCAATGACTGTGCTATATCAACATAAAACATAAAACAGGTTTGCTTTTTTTGACCTTTGGGTATATAGACTCAAAAATATGATTCCCAACATCCCTTCAATGATATACATAACATATCAGGAGCCTGGGCCAACAGAATCAGTCCCTGTGGTGCTACATGCTTATCCTCTCCTAGTGGTTCATGCCCTGGGAAATTTTTTCCTGCAGCTCCAGCCCTCCAGGATGATAAGGTGCTTGTTCCTATTGGTATTGAGAGTATTCTGGTTATATAGCTACATCATAATAACATCAGAATCCCTCTCTGCAATGAAATATCTCCTTCTACCTATACCACTGTATATTTTCGCACTTTTGAGGTTTTTCACTATATTACTCTTGCATAAACTATACAAACTGCTTATATTTACCTTCTAGTACATATTTGAAGTCCTTTCATAGCAAGGATCATATATAAATATATCAGAGTATCAATATCAAGGATATATCTTCTACTTTTACTGATTAGGAATTTAAAACATATACAAGATGATATATTATAATTAGACTATCACCAAATATACTATACATACTAGGACACATAGGCCTTAGTTACTGGAAGGATCCATCAAGAGATGAGAGCAGGGGAACCTAGTAGATAAGAAAAAGAGCGTGGGAAACTCAAAAATCAAAGCATCGAAAATAGTTGTCTACACAGTCAAGTTAGTGGTAGGTGGTAGGACTGTAATTCTCTCAACTTTGACACCACAACACTTCCACATTACCTTAACTCTTAGAATATAGTGTAGTATAGGATATTGGGGTAGTCTACATTCTATTTAACTCATTTCTGACAAAATCTTTGACCTAGATGTTAGTTAAATATGAAGATATTCACACATTTACTTTTCTCATCACTCACTCAGTTGTATGGATCTTTCTACAAGTTTAGATCTTGGATTATGAGTATATGCCCAATATATGGCAAGTGTCTGATTACACAGATGTGTCCTCATGAGATCCTAGATTACTTATCAGTAAAATAACTAAGTCAGACCAACATACTTCTGATATACATATTTATATATGATCCTTGCTATGAAAGGACTTCAAATATGTACTAGAAGGTAAATATAAGCAGTTTGTATAGTTTATGCAAGAGTAATATAGTGAAAAACCTCAAAAGTGCGAAAATATACAGTGGTATAGGTAGAAGGAGATATTTCATTGCAGAGAGGGATTCTGATGTTATTATGATGTAGCTATATAACCAGAATACTCTCAATACCAATAGGAACAAGCACCTTATCATCCTGGAGGGCTGGAGCTGCAGGAAAAAATTTCCCAGGGCATGAACCACTAGGAGAGGATAAGCATGTAGCACCACAGGGACTGATTCTGTTGGCCCAGGCTCCTGATATGTTATGTATATCATTGAAGGGATGTTGGGAATCATATTTTTGAGTCTATATACCCAAAGGTCAAAAAAAGCAAACCTGTTTTATGTTTTATGTTGATATAGCACAGTCATTGATGTAGGGCACTCTAGGAGGTCAAATAAGGGCTGGGATAGCTTCATATATGTTGGTAAATATGTTATAAATACTCTCCAATAATCCAATACCAAATGGTCAAAATTGCGAAATTGTTTTTGATATGTTTTATATTATATCACATTTGCAGAGGCCCTGGAGCAGCCATTAGTACAAAAATAGACAGAAAAAGTGGTCTATTATGTTCTATTATATGTATATAACATATGATACCACTTACCTACAAGCTGTATCTAATTGTGGTGTTATAGTGAGCCAGGGATTGACTGGGAAGAGTGTAGGAAGGTTTCATATTGTGGAGACATCCAAAATAGGCTATGTTTTTGGTGTTGTGGAGAAGTTCACACACCAGATGACTAAAAATGCGAACATGTGACATTGTAAAAGGCTGTGCTAGAGCACAAAATGAGGATTTGCACTGATGTATCAGCCAGTGCTGGTATCTGCTGGAGGATCTGTACTGATACATCGCTCCTGGAGAATGACAGATTACAGCATTTATGTATCAGGGTTATATGACAATTGTCAGGTATTTAATGTATCATTCTGACACTATCAACTGGAGTATATTCCACTAGGTGATGAATTAGCTCACAATATTGCTAATAGGATAGAGACCATACCAACGCTGAAACTGTTGTTCTCAGCAGAAACAGGCTCATATACAACTTCATATAGAGCCCTCAAGCAAATCAGAGTGATGTACTCATCACACTATTCAAGCTCAATCACTGTCTGTGGAATGGTGCTGGTAGTCTTGGGGGTGATTCCTGCACCAGGTTGACCAATCGAGCGAGCAGGTTCTGGCTGACTACCAGATCAATGCTTGAGTTTCATATCGAAGTTGACAGATGGTAGGACAAAGTCGACATGAGCGCTGATGTGCTCAGGGAGATTATAGGCTTCGCAAGCTAAAAAGTGGTGAGTGAGTACCGCAATTGTTACAGTAACATGGTGTGAGCCCCCAGCTAGCAATATGCCCTCTGCCACCTTGCACAGCAATGATATGATACCCGGGCCTTGAGGCCTTGATGACAGAAAGATAGAAGAAGAGAAGTCCAGAAGATGCCAGCTTAGATAAGTGATCTGGACCACAGATGACGACAGATGACGACATAGGTCTAGATGACCTATTAATGATATAAAGATAGAAGGCAAGCCTCATGGTTGCCTCGTGTACTGATAGAAGGACGCCTCGCAGTCCTTATCATAGATAGAAGCCTGCCTCATGCATGGTATCTCTGACTCGATAGATAAGCAGATTAGAACCCAGCTTCAAGCTGAGCTTAGATATGATAGAGTAACCTTATATAAGGTTGACGATTAAAGTAGATGTTCCTTACTTTAATCTTACTGGGTTTTACCTTGAACTCCTTGTCTTGCTAAAGCTACCTGCTCGACATCTGATCCGCACCTTCAGAAGGACTTGAGACCCCTTCTGCCTGTAACCGCTATCATCGCTCGCCACCGCTAGCATACACAACTCTTGCTTGTCTGTAAGAGCCGACCTTGGACTCTCAGCACGAGGTATCACTGTCATGATTGTCGCTGTTAGATCATCCCAGTTCGCACGCAACTACCGTCGTAACAGCAATAGTGTCCTCTATGAAGATATCGACCGATGTGCTCCTGTCCAGAAACGTGAGTGTAAAAATTATACTCGGTGTTCATGAGCCATTCTGCTTCTTCGACCGTAACATCAACATTAATCCAACCCTTGGTGGGACTTATGTGGATGTGCTTGCTCACTAGCCCATTCTCAACAAGCCAGTTTCTGACAGTGGAAATGGATTCCTCTGAGGGTGAGAATTTTTGGGCAATCTCTCCTGCAGTCCAGTGCTTGCCATAGTTAGCTGACTTGTGGTGAGAAACAACATAAAGATATTCATCAATGGACTTGATGTTACTCTGTTTCAGAGCAATGTGCAGAGGAAGGGTTGCCGCACTCTCGTGCCTTCAAGTATGAGACCATCCAATAGGGATGGCGCTGCGTTCCTCATGCACATTATATGGGCTGAGAGTGGACCTCACTAGGGAGACTACTGCAAGGCTGAGCCTGACAAAGGCAGTCAATGAGCAGTGCATGTCAGTAACCGAGACGACCAGAACCTGATAACAATACCAATCACCAGTCATATCTTTTATAACTCTCTCGAGCACAGAAGCAGCATGGCTGTGTGCCAGGATTAGACTGTAAGCATGCGAAACAGAGTCTCCTCGATGAGACACCCACTCAAGTGCTCCCACATAGCGAGATGTTTCCCTGAGAAACACATGGATAGGGCACTCCTGGATTACACTGTCCATAGTCAAGAAGAGGCACCGGCAAGATCTTTGCTTTTAGTTAGATCCCTGATTCCTTATTGTAGATCAACCTATTTCTTGGACAAAGGCAAGCTGTCATGGTGAAGCCTGTGATCGTTAGTTGAATTAGTATGGTACTACCAGCTGTTAACCTAGCGCCTTTCAAATCGCCTGCACAGGTAGAAGGAAATGTTCCAGAAGGTAGACCTAGACATAAGTAGAATCAAAGTACACATGCCATCTGAACTTGATTGATTGAACCTGATTGAACCAATTCCTGGAGGTACAGTTTCTTCAACTTTCACGGACCTTCTTCAAATTCATATGTTCACAATTTCCCGCGCTATTTGCCGTCCTTGCTCGGGGCCCTTATTGGGCTTGTCATTTCTCTATTCATAGCCGCGTCTTCATCATCTGCTTTGGTTCTTCCTGTCGCACTTGTTGTAACAGGCCAGCATATGGCTGACGATGGTGTCTATATTGTTTCCTCTAGCCTGCTTTGAAGATTGTTTGAGTATTGAGGGCGCAGTTTACCGCTACTTAGCAGCGTCAGTATCCAGCTGGTGTTTTTTTGTCAGTGCCTACTCTGAGCATCCGTCATTTGATTGACCATTTTCTGATGACGACTCGTGCTGATTTCAATGACTTGGCGCACGTTCATTCTCTGTCCATCAGAGTGTTCCATGCTTGTGACTATGCACGTAATCTACTGCGTGTCCATGCATGTACTGAGGATTGTCAAGCATCTGCTCTATCCGTGACGCACTGCTCAGTCGAGCAAACACGCGTCCGCTATTCCGAGGGCTTTTCTCGTGCTCAACTCTTTGAGCCACAACAGATCGTGAGTAAAGAACAGGGCACTGCTACTCATCGCCGTGGGTACAGCCCTTTTGCTGGCGTTGTTATCGAGGACGATCCGCAGTTTCCGACCACCTGTACCACGGAAGACAAGATGCGGATCGTTGCTGGATAGCAAGAAACAATGACATCCAACATCGCGCATGCGCAGTTTGTGCATATAATGTTCGTGCTGTTGATCTTGTACCTATCGCGGTCTCTAAACTGAATCTTTCTCTGTTGCAGAATGAGTATTTACCGGAGCACGTTCTTATGACTTCGAATTGTGCGGTCTTGTCATACTATGCTCTAAAGGGATGACCGATTGGTGACTCCGTGTCTTTGCGTCTCTTGTCGAGAGAATCTGCTACGGAAACCCCCACATTCGTTGGCGAATTTCCAATATTACGGCCCGCAACTGCTTCTTCATACGACCTTATGTCAACATTTCGTGCCTGCGCGTCCCATGTTACACATTTCCACTTTTACAAATCTGATGTCGATGGTTATCGCCAGAGTGAGGAGTCCTCTCAGAGTCATAATCAGAGCAATGTTGCTATTTGTCCTCGGGACTCGCCTTAGGTGCGTTCTCTGTTGCCTCCCAGATGACGAGATTCGCGATGCTGTGTGCGCCGTGTTTTCTGGCCACAACGAGGTTTCTACCTGCGAGGCCGTGAAAAAATCGCGCCATATGCTTGTTACGAAGAGCATTGTAAAGACTGTTCGAATCTAATCCGTGGCATGAAAACCCTATCCTCCGCCACTGCCACCTATCGACCGCGTGTTGCTTATTTTGAACATACTTAGTATCTACTGATGTAGATACCCCCCCTATGGCGACAACACTGGCTGGATCATTCAATATGTAAGGCCTTGAGTATATCTACAAGCTTTCTCACTCATTGGGCGGTTTTTCGTCGCGTCGAATGCCCGTTTCTACTGGCAGCTGAGCCTTCTCCACTGAGGGAACGCTCGCTTCAAGCGATGGGTAAAGCGTGAACGGAAAAACAGGAGCCTTCCTAAGCCAAGATTATGGGAATGAAAGTCGGTAAATATGAGCGAGGGCTTGTCTCATTGAAATGTCAGTGTACGCTAGGTATAGGTAAGTGTGATTATCAAAAAGAAACCTTAAGTGTAATTGTGATGGTGCAAATAGACGATCAAAATGAGGAAAGTAGTAAGAAGGTGAAGACGAGCTTAATAGACGTTGGGAATATATGGTCCCATTTCGTATCCGTGTCACCACCCAATCGAAACGCTAGGGTGCATCAGGGCACTCAAGAGTAGCTTGGTCTACGCTCTTTCTCATTTTTGCGGCTGTATTGAGCACCATCAGAAACTCATCAACTTTAGCCCAACCCTCATCAATATTTCGAAATTGTGATGTGGGGTCCACGTCCAAAAGCGGTCCAAAGCGGTCCACGCCGGACAAGTTGGGCACTAACGTATGCAATTGACAAGCCACGGCAACGGGGTCAACAATCGGAGACATCCCCACAAAAATGTTGGTGATATTCTCGTTGGGAATGGTTTTGGTGAACGGCTCGCTGTCGGTATCTACCGAGCATGCGCAGAAAGTCATGTCAATGGTGCGCAAGGCCGGGCAATGTTGTATAAGGTATATGAATCCTATGAAGGTGAGAGATGGTGGGACAAGCCAACGACACCCACTTCCAAAGTAAAACTCCTGGAGCAGAGGCCAAGATTGCGCCATTCTCTTGAGTGATGCATCGTCAATGGCCGAAGCGCAGATCCAATCGAGGTCTACCTTTGTCAAGCGACTCAAGGACAATAGCGGGGCAATCACATCGAAGGCAAGTGCAAAATGAGAATCAGCGAGTATGTCTTCGTCTTCCAGGGAGAAGAGGGGGGGCTCGAAGCTGACACTGAGGTGTTCGAGAGCAGGAGAGAAGTGCTTTGAAAATGAGATGATGAATTCTGGAACGACCAGTGGATCATAAGGTGCCCCCCAAGGGTTTAAATCGATGTCCAGCGCTACTGATCGACAGCAAAGAAACCGGATGTTTCTAAGACAGTGAGCAAGAGCAAAAAGCGACGGTGCAGCGATATGCACCAGATTGATTTGGGAGATAAATTCTGGGCCATCGGTTTGTGTGCTATCAATATTGTATGTCCTGAAGTACAGAGACTTCAACGATGGCAAAGAAGCCAAGTGATATAGCGCTTGTGTGTTAAGAACCCCTGTCTCAAGATGGAAAAGCTCCCGCGAACCACATACGGCGTCGGATATTATGTCTGAATTGTCTTCGGAATCACTTTGGTATACACACTTGAATTCCCGAATGGATGGACACCGAGCTCCAAGGGAAGTTAACAAGGCTGATTTGGCAAAGGAGGGTACCCAGGAGGTTCCTGAACTACTAGAGCGCAGCTCCAACGATCTGATAGTTGGCACAAGGAGGCAACGCAATAGTGGAATGAAGCATTCTTGGTCATTGAACCAATGCAACCTACAAAGGTTCGGCAACAGTGTGAGTGATGGCGCAGAAATGAGCGCCTGCACAATTCGGTCGTCTATGACATCTGACTCAGAGGGTTCGAAGGTCAAGGAGCGGATACGGTGTGCATATTGAGAAAAAATGCTCCACTCTCTTGCGAAGGGAGGTCTAATGAACGTCTATTTGAAAATTGTGGGAATTCATATGTCGACCTGCATCATGATTGAAAATGTCAAGCTCACCAACTTTCCTAGGCCTAGCACATCTCTATCATGGACACCTTCAGGGAAGCACAAGACGAGTGGCTCGAATCCATCGATATGTTTCCAAAGCGTATCAAGCGCAGGTTCCTTGAATGTCCTACAGGTTCTTGCAAGAGCAGCAAGTGTGGCATGAGAGATTACTGAGTTATAATCTTCATGGATAATTGCGAATATATCAAGTAGAATTTCTGCTGGCAAGAGACAGACATGCATGATAAAAGTTGCACGAGTTTGCCGCCACTGCTGACCACGGCCAAGGTCTGGGCCAAGCAACTTGACATTTAATTACACTGTCACGCCTCCTTAAGTCACGCCGTAGCATGCCGATCACTGTCAATTATTATTACACTTGAGTCAGGTCTAAGTCAGAGGAAAGACCTATTCGTAATTTAATCTACACTATACATTATCGGTGGAGTATGGGTACATTCTACTATAGATGCAACATATGTAGTCAAGTGAAAACCAAGCCAGTGTTCGATCAATATGAATGCCGAATCTAGAATCGCCAACCTCATTGCATGCCCAAGGAGCCCATAAAACTCGACAGATCAAGTCCCTCGTACTCATCTTCTGCGGGAATGTCTTCGAGGCCTGCCAGGAGGTTCTTCTGGTTAACAGGACCCGTTGGCGCCTTCGCCTTCTTCTTTGCCGTCGTGTCTTCATCTTCCGTTGTTCGTTTAAAAAGATCTAGAACAAGATCTGTATCCATCGATGCTAGACCGGAGTTCTGCTGCGTCACAACCGAGTTCGCAATGTTGAGCTTGAAGCGTTGCAAACTATCGAACGTTGTCAGGGACAAGATACAAAAAGAAATAAACAAAGAACTAACCCCATGATCTTCTCTTCCAGTGTGCCCTTCGTGATTAAGCGATACACATTGACAACCTTCTTTTGTCCAATGCGGTGGGCTCTGTCCATAGCCTGAAGATCCTTCATAGGATTCCAGTCATGTTCCACAAATATTACAGTATCTGCTCCAGTGAGTGTCAGGCCAAGCCCACCAACGTGCGTTGTCAATAAGAGGCAGTCAATACTGGGATCCGAGTTGAATGTTTGAACAATAGCATGACGCTTGTTAGGGTCGGTTCCACCATCGAGTCGCATGTATGTGACGGAAGGCATGTATTGCTTGAAGAGATCATTTTCGATGATGTCCAACATTTGCTTCATCTGACAGAAGATTAAAGCGCGATGCTGGGAGAATGCACTGCTTGACTCCGACAAGCTCTCCGCAGGATCGTTCTTCCCACTTTCACCAGTAACCGAAGGACTGCCTCCAATACCGCAATCTGTCAGTAGTTGCCTGCCCCGCATTAGAACACTACAACTATACACATAGAGAAAGACAATACCGTAAAGCAAGTAATTTCGGTGCGTGCTGAATATTGTTCAAGCTGTTGATTTTGCAATTCATCTTGGCAAGTGCTGCAATGACAGCGTCTCGGTTGGTCTTCAGGATCAGTGAAGGATGATTGCAAAGTTTGCGGAGATACTGTAGTGATTGGAAAACATGCTGTTGTGGAGCATCCTTGACATCTCCTTGAATGGCATCCTCCACATTCGTCTTGGCCTGTGAGCTGGAGAAGTCGTCGTACAGCATTTTTTGCACCTCTGACAGCTCACAGTAGTAGTCCTGAATGATCTTCGGGGGTAGGTCATTCAAGACATCCTCTTTCAGCCGGCGTAATAGGAAGGGCAGGACTTGCTTATGCAGAGCTTCGAGAGCAAGAGCAGCTATAGAGAATTTGGTTAACAGCGAAATAGTTCTCAGGACGTATCACTCACCAGCTTCACCAGTCTTCGCCTTTCCATCACGATTTGACAGGATTGGCTTGCTGAATCGCTCGTTGAACGACGTTTCGGTCCCAAGGAAGCCAGGCATCAAGAAGTCAAATAGACTCCAAAGCTCCAACACGTTATTCTGGATTGGAGTGCCCGAAAGAATGAGACGGTGCTGTGCATGTATAGCCTTGACAGCTTTTGTGAGCTTGGTCTTCGCGTTCTTGATCACGTGCCCTTCGTCCAGGATGCAGTATAGCCAGTTGTAATCTTCTAGGCTCGCAATATCGTTCCGCACAACTTCGTATGAAGTGATAACCACATCTTTCTTGGATAATTTAGGAAGAAGCCTTGCGCGCTCCTTGGAATTGCCGGTATAGAGAATGGGTTGCAAGTTCTCAGAGTATTTTAGAATCTCGTAGTACCAGTGACCGGTAAGAGTAGGAGGGCAGATGATAAGCGATGGAAGATGAACAGCATCAGGCGATTCTGTATCTTCATACTTTTTAGCTCGCTCTGCGTGCTTGCTGGCCAGTATGCATATGGACTGCAAAGTTTTACCAAGACCCATGTCTAGAATATGTTAAAATGACGCGGGAAGTGTGAAAGAAATTCAAACACACCATCACAAAGAATCCCGTGCAACTGATACTTAGCCAAGAACGCCAGCCAATTAACACCTTCTTGCTGGTATTTGCGAAGCTCCGCCTTGATAGGAACAGGTATGGTGTACTGTTCAACTTTGCTACCATCAAGAAGTTGAGTGAGAAACTGTCGTTCCGTTTCGCGCCTCTTGAGCAGCTCCTCAGGGAAACTGGTAGGATCAGGCAAACCGGCCTGAAAAATATGTAAGTGAGGAATGTATACCAGGTAATAGTACAAACCTCCAAGGGAACCATCTTGATCAAGGACGCAAATGTATTGGTAGTCGCAGAGCGAATGTCATCATCGGGATCGCTCATGCGCCCCAGAACAGGAACAATAAGAAAGATCACGTAAGGAAGTGCTTTGATGTCGAGATGCTGGACGATATCTGCACGAGGTATGACGGACGGAACATTAAAGATAGTTGAACACGTACGATAGATGGCTTCTGCAGCACCCTGACGGTTTGATAACACGATAGCGTCTCCCAATAACGGAATGATCTTCTCGATGGCAAACAGCATGGCGTCGGAGGTCATCACATTACATATGGTAGCGAAACAGCGTGCAGCTGCCTGCCGAATAATGGCATAACGACTACGCAACGCCATCGCGATAGCGGGGAACAACTCTGCAAGCTTGGGCCAAAGATCCGGGTGAAAGGAAGGCACAACGGCTTCGAGGACACTAAGCGAGTCAATTACATCTTGTCCATATTGTTTGTCCATGAGGGCGTCAGCTTCGTGTGGTAACGCTGAGTAGGGGTCAGGAAAATGAAAGACTCCGAAATAATTTCGCACCTGTTGTGCAGGCACTCAGCAAGCCTCCTGCCATGGAAATCCACATCTTCGGGATCACTTGAAGGAGCTGGGATCCAAATTTGGATGATAGCTGATCGAATGCTAGGCAAGCTCCTCGTCTTGATAGCTGTGCTGTTGCAGCGTCATCGCTCGACTTGGCACTATCAGCGCCCTTCGAACTATCTTTGCCGTTCTTTGCTTGCTGTGTCGTTTGCTTTGACCAAGAGGTGAGGGACAGGATACCCTTGTAGACAGATCGCGAATAGGCAAAGGTTGGTGTTTGCTCCACATCTTGACACAAGAATGTACACAAATTCTTGACAATTTTGTCGGGGGGTTGCGTGATATTGTGTTGGAAGCAGAAATCGATGAATAGTGCTACTGCCACAGCTGAGCGGGTCTGGAGATCCAGATTTTCCTCGTTCTGGAACAAGGTAAGCTTTTTTGTTGGCAATCGGAACTCAACAATCAACGTACCTTGATGCCGTTCATGATTCCCTTGACCACAGGACTAACTTTATCTGGGGTACTCCGGAATGCAACGAAGGCGGCTGCAAAAGCCGCTGAAACACGAGTGTCGTGCTGTGTCTTGACCTGAGAGTATTGTTCAATGCTGATCACGACCTTCTGTCTCTTCTCGGCGATAACTCCCAACTCGCGTTTCTTCGTACGCCCAAGGCTGTCCTTCAATTTCATGTACATCGGACCAACCGCTTCTTCTGCAGTCTCGATGGTGAAACTGTTTGGTTTTGTGCCAGTGATATCAATCTCGTCACCAAGATGCGGAATCAAGGATATGGGAATCTTGCAATCAGTTGCGAAACAACGAAGGAGCGCAGCGCATTCTGAGTGGATACGGTGTAGCGTGAACGCCATCTCGTGATATGCGATCGGAGGCGTGCCCTGTAACCAAGCCAAACACATCGTGCTGAGCTCTGCTGCAAGAGGAAACGCCTCGATGATGAGTGTAGTAGGTGACGTTGCATCATATGCACGGGCCCATTCCTCTGAGACGAGGGCAGCCAGGAATTTTTGGAGCATGCTGGTTGACTGCAAGTAATGCACGAGTATGGGCTGGAAAAGCTCGTCGATGGACTGCAAATGAATCATCAGAAGAAAATTGACACGCGCTGAAAAATGCGGTACCTTCGAAGGCCAATAGATTATTAAATACGCCATAGAGGTAGCCGCTGCGATCCGAGCCTGCATGATTACTTCCGCACTGACCAACGATAGATCCTGGGCAAGCATGTTCTTGTCAACATTATGTCTCTCCAGCGGGCCTGCATCACTATCATCTTCTGTGAAGGCAGGGTAATGGAATGTCGAGCAATCAATAGGAGCGCCAAGCGGCGTCATCATGGTTGAGTACCAATCAAGGACGGTTTGCTGCTTCACCAACTTCTTCATCCATCCAGGCACATCCGCTACGACCTCGAGCGCCGTCCGCCAGGCTGTCAAGGTGACAGCGCGGATATCCGCCCGCTCTTCCACAACCAAATTCTGGAAAAGAAGGCGAAGGAATGGCGTGACGATCCATTCGCGGGGAAGGGAAGTTACAGTCATGAAGGAAAGCAAAGTTTTGACTACGGCGAGACGAACATTAGGGATCGTATGTCGGAAGAACGGGAAGAGTGTGGGTGCCAATTCCGTGAGCGGGAGGCTAATCAGGGCCGTTAGATATCCGACCGAGAACAAGTGAGGGAAGCTTACGATACACTAGCTTGTGCAAGAATATCAATGACCTTGCTATAAGTTACGAGTTTACCTACCGCCCGTGAGTACTACCCTGTAAGACAGCAATTAGAATCTTACCCAATAGATCCATCACTGCACCAACACTTGAGCTCAAGTCATCCTTCATGCCGCGCAGGCAGTTCCAGAGAACCAAAAGTACTCTATCCAGAGATTCTGGAAGCTGTTCAACAAGATGACCCGCAACTGGAAGCAAACAAGATGCAGCCACAGCACGAACATCATCATCCGAATCACTGAGACTGCATGGCTAGACGTCAGGAAGGTGACGATGAATACTGTGTGACATGCTCACCCAAGCACTGCGGCATCGACAACGCCCTGCAGAATCTCTTTTCCTGTATCGCCAGCTGTTTCAAAAAGATCACTTCGCACAGCAGCCTCGTACTTGATACCCAGAAGGCCTGCGTGCCGAACCTCCCATACATGGCTACCATCACCTTTCTTGCTCTTGGTTGGCTTGTGCCCCGACGGGAAGTCTTGTCGAATCATCTGCAATAGTATGGAATGGACGTGCTTCACGGACCGTTGAGGCATATGTAGCAATAGAGATGCGAGTGTTTGTGACACCGTCTCACGGACAGGTGCAACAACCTAGAGTTCACTCAGGACGTGTGATATGCTTAAGTGCATAAAGAAAAAAAACGAACCTGATCGGAGACGAAGTCCCCAAAACGATCGAGGACGAAAATACACAAAAGTTTTGCGGCTAAGTCATTACACCAACGCTCATGCGCAAGAGAATTTTCCTCCGCGGATAAACTGTCTAAACTCTGTCGTTAACATCAAGCTCGCTGCCATCATGAACAACAAATATCACCTTTCATGCCACCTGATGATCCTTGGACCTTGAGCAACTCGCGCAAAGCCATGGCAGCACCATGTCTCGACTCCCAATTTGCAGAGAAGAGGTCGACCTCTAGGAGGGCTACAATGCCCTGCCACATCCAAGCCCCTGGAATGACTTCCAGCGCGTGTGATTGCTGAGCTGCTTTCGGTGACACAGCACCACCCTTTGATGGGTCTATGATAACTTTCTCCTGAACGAATGATTTGGCAGTGTCAACAGGGCTATCTAATCGTGACCTTGGCGCGTCCTGCGGTTCGGCTGATACCAGCCGCGCTCTAAGCGATTAAGATGGTGAGATACACAAGGGACTGTTGTTGCAATTGAACCTACTTATTTGATGGCCCTGCAGGAGTTGCATTGTACTTGGCGCCGGAAGGGGGTGGAGGAGGTGCCGCAACAAAGGCAGAGTTGCCTGGTTTCCGTTTCCGTTTCAAGCGGTTTCGTTCGCGTGCTGAAAGTCCATTAAGACACTCTCCCTCTGCTACGGGTGATGGCGCAACGGGAGTGGTACTCTTTGGACGAGATAGTGATGGAGGTGGCGACCGTTCGCGTTTCACTGGAGCCTCGACCTCCATCGGGGAGTCTAGAGGGGTAGCAGTGTCCTCTCTTTTAGGGTGAATTTCGTTGTCATGATCAGTTTCAGTTTCCCCTTCGACAGCGAGTTCCTTGTCCAGGTCCATGTCATCTGCAGCACCAACACTTTCAAGGAAGTCGAGACCTAGCCTACCCATGGCCTCCTTACGAGCTCTCTTAACCTCTGCCGCGTTTGCAAGGATGCCTGTTGGCTTCGAAAATTCTTTGCCGGATGATGCAAGAAGTAGCACGCCTTTCTGCATAAGTTCTTGTACTGAAAATGCAGGAAATTCGGGGGGAAAAGTATCTAGATCTGGGGGAGGTTTGACGTCTACAGCTTGTGGCTGCCATACTGGCACAAGGGAGAATATCTGTGAGAGTGCATTCGATGCGGCCGACCTTGTTTCATGACTCTTTGAATGCAAATAAGGTAAAATCTGAGTAAGCGAGATTAGCATGAAGAAGCATGAAGTGGAACGCGCTATACGGACTCGAGCCACGACGGCCATTAACTCAGACCACGCTGAGGAGTCCCCGAGAGGGACATGGTGACGAGTTGACTTAATATCATCTTGAACTGCAACATCACTGATTACACTTTTGGCTGCAAGTTGGGCAAGCTGTTTGGCTGCTGTATTCCTCACGGAGGACGAAGATCCTGTATCAAGAAGAAGAAGGAGCCTGTCCAACCTAGAAGCAGCATTAGATATTCGTATGCAATAACGCTGCGGAGGAAAGGCGGTACCTCGATGTCATATCCGAAAAAGGAATGCGGTCAACGCCGTTCGGCGCGGGCCGGATGCAATGGGTTACTTTGAGAGGAAATGATCGTCTGGGGAATTTTCTCACGGCCGCTCCTTCCCCGTTGTCCTTTTTATCTTCAGCCACGCGTGACGGAAAATGGTTTCTGTCACGTAAATGTTCGCGTGTTTGTGACACTTCGATGCCTTTCACACGTGGAGTGTCGAAGTCCGCAGAGCAAAACGTTCATGTAGCCGCCGCCAGACGCGCATAAAATTGTCTTTTAATTTTGTTTGCAGGTTAACAGGCTCTGTCAACTCATGAGTCTTGAATTTTTTGATCAACTCCTGGTAGAGTTGAGTGACCAAAGTCACCCGTGCACAGTTGGTAAGCTTCATTTTTCGAAAAGAAATCGAAAATTACCAATTTTCCTGGTCCCGATCACAATTAGACCTACGGCTCTGCGGCTTGGCTTACTTCGAGTTTTACGCAGCAGCTTGTTCATTGCATAATAACGTTGGCTCATGGACATCAATGAAACCTTTTATCGATAGGGCGTATCAAGAAATGACCCGCTTACCGCCACCCGAGACCCTTTGCTGGCGAAGGCTATACACAGACGCCTGCCTCTTGTGTGCCATATCTCAGGTTTCTGATTTGGCACAGGATGATGCAGCAGCTACAGAGGCTGTTGCTATCTTGGATCGTGCTATCATTATAGCAGGCGCTCCTGGCAGATTGGATTCCATCCATCAACTCATCAAAAATATCCAAGAGAACTATCTGACGCTGAAACCACTCATAACCTCTTCTCACAAACAACCTCTAACACAAATGTACCACTCTAGCGCCTTTTCCCTTTGTGTTCCTTGCATTGACCCCCCACCAAATGTCCTCGGGAGGCAGTGGTCACAAAAGCCATTTGTACTCCAACGTTATGGTTACGTACAAGGTTGGAAGGCCCTTAGTTCGTGGGCGTCTATTGACTATCTCCGTTCGTGGCGGGCCCTGGTCGTCTTGTGCCTGTCGAAGTTGGGAAAGACTACAGGACTGAAGAATGGACACAGAGGCTGATGAGCTGGGACTGTTTTCTGCAGTCCCTCGACTTTCCTGAACACACAGCTCAACCCCAGAACGAGGTATTATACCTTGCACAACATAACCTCTTCATGCAATTCCCGGCACTTGAAGGGGATATTGGTATTCCCGAATATGTTTATGCATGCCCTGACCCCCCATCTTGTTATCCTGCTTACAAACCTCCGGGAAATATGGATGGGTTGATCATCAATGCATGGCTTGGCCCAAGGGGTACCATTTCCCCGGCCCATACTGTGAGTTCCTTCAAGATTATATGCGGTCGATGCACAAGTCTACTAATATTATCTGACAGGATCCCTTCTTTAATTGTTATGGTGAATGACTTCTTTGCATTCCATTTTAATTGTATATTAAATCTTCTCGCGCTAGTCCAAGTAGTCGGTCGCAAGACTGTTTGGCTCGCACCCCCTGATGTTTCCAATCTGATGTATCCATTCGACACATCGACATCTGACACTGCTGATAAGTCTCGCAATCCGGCGGCCAACGTTACGGAGCCATCGATGTGCAATACATCTCGGGTGGATGTGTTTCCTCATTCTGCGAAGGCAGAGCAAGCGTCGCGAGATGCTTTCCCTGATTTTTGGAAAGAGGTGCCGCAGAAAGCTATGTGCGTGACCTTGGCCCCCGGTGATGTACTATTTTTTCCTCCTGGATGGTGGCATGCGATGCAGAGTGAAGAGACGAGTTTTTCTATCTCGATGTGGTTTTAGTTGTGGTTTTAAGATGGTGTTGTGTACATATATATGTTGATGGTGACCATTACGAGCAATGCGAAAGTCGGAGAATGACTCAGAGATCTGCTGTGACTTTTCACTGTGGAAACGTCGGATAGGCCGCGTGAGTGTACAGCATTTATTGGACCGGATGGTACCGACAACTGCCTGGTTCAGAATAATCATTGTTGGAAACAATAATATTATTTGCTCGACACCCTAGAAGGTCCAGCTGACCGTTGACCCTGATCCTCTTGCTTTTACCCTCTAAATGTCGGTCTCGGACGTTGACCGTGCCGCTGGGCGCACGTCTCAATTCCCGGGTACTAGCAGCAGACATGGTGCTCTATCTCCTTTGCTCTCTACTTCACTAACGGAAGAACACATCGCGGAAGCACTTCGACAGTCATCCGACAACGGCGCTACTCTTGATCTCACACACAAGAACCTGACAGACGTCGGTGAGGATGGGGCAAAACACTTGGCAACCATGGGCAGGAACGGCTCCCTCGATGACGAGAGTTCAGTATTCAGGTACGTTGCTGCGACGCGTTGTTGCCGCAACTTCACATTACAAACTACTTTAGGATTGCATTGGGGTACAATCGCCTTGCTACACTCCCTACTGCATTTGCCCTGCTCTCTCGCTTGAGATATTTGAATTTGCAGAACAACAGCTTCACATCTTTCCCCGACGTGGTGAGCAGCCTCAAAGTTCACGCGTTAAACGGTCGCTAAACGTGACACAGTTAACGGTCATGCCATCCTTAGAGATTCTGGACATCAGTCGAAACAAAATCAAAAGATTACCGGGGCAATCAGGCTCCCTGATCAACCTGAGGGTACGTTCCGTAGTTCTATACTTCCTCTTAGTGCCAAACATGCTCTCGTCAGGTTTTCTGCCTGTCGCGCAACAAAATAACTCGCATCCCGGGATACTTTGCAGATTTTCGTGAGCTGGACGTCTTGAAGGTAGATCACAATCCCATAGAGTGGCCGCCGAAGACTGTCATGGTAACACCAGATGGGGGAAGGGAGTGGATAACATTCATGCAGAAGTGGATGAGAAATAATTCCCGGCCTCGCTTGGACGTGAAACAGCCCAGCATCGACTCGCTCGTGAGTGCGAATACGGCTTTGGACAACTCCATGTAGGGATCAACTCTCTCATACTCGAATGCCAACTGACGTACTTACAGCGAAGACCAAATACAGTCCTGGTCTCGTATACATGATGATTCCGACCCAGGTGTTACGCCTCATGCTCGCTCCTTCTCTATCGACGCTTCCCTTCCGGAGCCTACAAAGTCGACATCGCCGCGTTTCGACCGCCCGCCACCTCTTCGCCTGGGGACGCTTCCTCCGTTCAAAGTCCCACCTCGATCAATGACTGTCGGGAGCTACCTGCCTACCCCTGCAGAGTCTGTGTCTTCTACAGATGATCACAGTACAACCGTGCCAGATGGTCCACAGCATGGCCGTAATGCATCATTTACCGGTTCAGCTCGTGATCGCTGTCCAGCACTGTTTGGGAAGAAGAGTCTGCCCGATCTCCGTGCAGCCAACGTGAGTGATGGTGTCAACAAGCAAGCTATTGGGGGGACAAGCAAAGGAGTTCTCGCACCTGATCTACTGTCGCATGACGAGTTTTCCATCCCCTCACCTCTCTCACATCATCAAGGCTCGTCATCATCATCCGACGGTTCCTCGCATTTCCAGAGCAGAAAGGCATATACTCAGTCACCTCCTACATCTGCATCTCCAACCTTTGGCGACGTTCCTCGGCCGGTTCCCGAAGTCGAACGCCATGCATACTTCAAGCGCCTCTCGGCGCTTCCTGCCACAGCCATGATTAACAATCTTTCATCTTCCCTACGCTCCCTTGTAGAATGTGCACGGTCACTGTTCTTCGCTGTTTCACAAGTTTATCAGGCGCTTTCACACTACATCACTTACACCAACGACCGACAACTCTCCTCTGTGCTGAAGAAAGTCACCGACCCTGCGTATACTTACATGATGCAGTTGAACGGCGCTCTCGATCGGTTTGATACAATTTGCAAGAAAACGACACCGCCACCTTCACTTTGCCGAGCGCTTGTGGAGAGTAGTAGAGATACCGCAGCGATGTTTGGCAAAGCTATTGCGATGATGTCACTGCAGTTGAACATCCTCGCGTCTAAAGATGATGACCGATATATGCGGTCATTGGTGCTTATCTTTTACGGTGCGATGGCCGAAATATCGAGTGCGTGGCAGTCGATGGTTCCACACATTGAAGCTATCAAACCTCACCTTTCGGATCGCCGGCGTCATCTAGTGAAGCCCCAACCAGCCCCGAATCCCAGTCCCGAGCTTCTTCCTTCTTCAGCACCACCATCGTACTCCCCGTTCAATGCGCTGCCGCCACATGGTATTCCAATCGCCAGATCACGACCCACGCAATCCCTTGGTAGAGCAAGAACCACGCGGCGCCATGCTGGGTCGTTCAGTTCAAAAGACGTGGAGATTGGCAAATCCTTGCCATCATATGACTTGCCAGTACCATTTGGCGCGGTGGTAAACTCCCCGGCGACACTTCGAGCAGGACAACGTCATCCGGCGCTACCGCTTTCAGCATCAACATCGAGCCTGATTCCCTCATTGGTGAATTCTAGCATACCTTGGACGTCATTGTCTGGGCAGCACTCCCGGCAAGCCTCCCAAACATCATTGACGCCATCAGCTGCGCCTTCATCGCCTCATGTGCCTGCTCGACGCCCAACACTTGATATACCTCCTTCACGGACGCTCGTCGACAAAGACGCCCTCGACGCGATGGAAGTGGCAGTAGAGGCAGCACCTGCAGTATGGGAGATGCTGAAAGAGATTGTGGAGAATTTATCTGAAGGAGCTGAAGAGTTCCGCAACACACTGCTTAAAGCTAAATCCACCACGGAGCGCCTACGTACTAATATAAACGCAATGCGGTGCGGAGACCCAGGAGCTGACAGAAAAGGGCTCCGTGAGGACGCACACGTGTTCGTCAAGGTGATTCAAATCTCTCTGATTTCCTTGTCTTGATCCCATTCCTGTGGTGATCCACTTGTCTTTTCAATCTCCTTGGGGTGATCTGTGATGCTGATCTGCGGGATCTTTCTCTACAGATTGTGGTCAAATTGTCAAATCTGGTCAAAACGCACGGCACGTCCCACGCCGTATTCTCCGATCTTTTAGGCAAGATGTTGGCGTTGACAAATGCCACGCAGGAGTTCGTGATGCTCCTGCATGTCTCATCATTCTCACCATCAACAACGCCACGACCATATTCCCCCATGACTGCTATCTTGGCGCCATCCGTAGTCGGATTGATCGCTGAGGATGGGCGGCTAGGTGCAAATTTATCCAGAAGTCGCAGTTCTACGCAGCCGAAGACATTGAAACTGTTTGGTCACATAACAACCCCTCGGAGTGCACTTCCAACCCAGTCCTTCAATATACCCCGTATGCGGGACACGGGTGATGAAGGCTGAGCGCTGAGCCTTGGTAGCTTTGATTAATTGTTATGTCCATGACTCATCCTCACGACGCATGACGTATACCTGCAGTTATTGTAGCATCATCATACCAATATCTCACATTACATATTCAACTAGTATTGTCTTTTGCTTTCAAAATTCCATGCCTATATTATGCTGGATCCTACATGAAGGTAATGTGTATGTGAAATAAAAGGGTCCCAAAGCATAAGATCTATCAGAGCGATAAAACGAGGATGCGGATGTAATGCTAGATTCATAAGATAGTATCGTGTTTGCGTGTATGAATGAGTCGTCAACCAGCTATGATCACCCCGGCTATAATCACCCCATGCGCGTCTCCATCTCACCGCACAGCATCACCTAGCATACGATCGACTTCGGCTCTGATTTCGGCGAGGTTCGCCTTGAGCGTCTTCGCATCTTCGAACTTGCGATGCGCCATCGCCTCGCCGACAAAGGATTCGAGAAGAGCCTCTTGTTCTAGAAGCGGTTGTAGTGTATGGGCTAGGTCTGAATCGGGGTCCACAAGTGGTGTCTCGAAAGGGACAGGTGACGATGTTGAGTCGCGCTTTTTAGGCTTGGGCAGGGACTGCGCATGATGCTAATCAGTTTAGAGTATCGGATGAAACGTATTTTACGTACCTGCAATGGGAACATATGCTTCTGCAAAAATAGATTCGCCCTGCTGAGGACTGCAAGCTGCACGTGGTTCTGGGAAGACCCTGTATTGCAAGGAATATCACGTATTCGTTTGGCCAAAACATCATATTGAGCAAAGGCATCCAGAAGACGCTTCCGTGCTGCGGACGCTTCTTTAGTCGGCTGGTCGTCATTACTAGATGCAAATGTGTTATTGTTAATCTGTGTAGAATCAAAGCCCAGTCAATACGTACCTGAGTGTAAGAAGCAGGTCCTGAAACTGGGGAATCGCATCCTCGATCTCTTTCTCGAGACTAATGAATGCCTATTTTCCAAATTAGTATCGCACAAGCTCAATACCTCCAGTAATCAACTTACATCATAGAACCTTACAAACGGCGGTACGCTCGCCATCTCCTGCCAATACTGCTGTCGCGTGAGCACAGGCCTGCAGCTACGGCATATTCTGACGCCGCGGAGAAATTTCTCCTCCTCGCCGGCACCCGCACGACGCACACCGTAATCGACGCCCTCCCCGACCTCCTCGATGCGCCGCGTCTTGGCATCGACGACGAAAAGTACTGAACAGGGGCTGTGGCGCTGCGGGAGCTTTGGAGGAAGACTGCAGATGATGGTACCGCAAAGGCGGCAATGGTGTTTACGGTTTGTGAGTGGGTGAAACGACGCGCTGGAAGAATATAAGTGAGATTCTTATGTTCAACGGTAGTGGTTTGGGGAATGTAGACATCAAAAGAAAGACATACACGCATAAAGGACATTTAGATACGGCAGCATCATCTTGCCAAGGTGTTATCCGCTGCTCTGCAGCTAGAAAATTGCTTTGGTCAATACTCAATTCAACGAACTGAGCAACGTGATATACCTCGAGTATCACCGTTGGAGCCCTGTATCATTTGGCTTTGCAATACCCCTTTCCACAGTTCACTCGCATCCATATTCTTAAGGTCGAGATTAAAAAACGACGAAGCCCTCCTCTTTTCCATTCCCCTTCCATTGACACTAACCTCATCTTTCCTCGCACCCACGCCCTTCTCAACAGAATTCTCCACAGGAAAATGCAGAGCGATAAGCTTTTCGAGCCTACGCTCTAGCTTTGTCTGTTCTATCCGCCCCTCGTCAACACGTTTCGTCCGGTATTCAGAAAATTCATCCGTGCGGGGCCGATACACGCCCTTGGGTTGAAAGCCTGGACGGTAGGGTGCTGCAGACCGCGTAGGGGTGGATGTACGTATTTGTGCAGAGGAAGATGCAGGTGCGGATGAGGTGGAGGGGAGGGACGGAGTTGACGCTGCAGGAGAACCTGAGGTTGAGGTTGTTGCCGATACTGGGGCTGATGAAGAAGGTGGCGGTAGAGGTCCTGGTGTCGGTATCGGTGAATAGAGTTTCGGCGGTGGCAGGGGTGCAACCATCGAAGACGAGCGCGGGGGTGGACTGATGATGTTTTGAGCAAAAGGCGCGCTTGCTCTTGGAAGTAAGACTGACGGAGGTAGTTTACCACTATCTGATATTACTGATGTAACTGAGGTGACACGGCTGTGCATCACGGGTGAATGCAATGCATGCAGTGCATCGAGTTGGCGGCTGGATGTCGATGGTGCGGGGGAAGTGGGTAACAGGTGGGCGGAGAGGCGAAGCGAGTGGGGATTTCGCAGGGGGAGGACGGAGGCGCCTGAACTTGGATGGTTTCGGAGAAGTAGGAGGAAGCTTTGTGATGGAAGATGCAGGAGATGAAATTGGTAATTCCATCTCTTTGTCTTTGCCATTTGTACGTGGAACTGGCTCCTCATCGGGTACGGGTGTCTGGACAGGATCTGGCAACGCAACATCAATGTTTGTTGGGGAAGGTAACTCGGTACTAGATGATGAGCTATTAGTATTCGGTGAGGAAGAAAGGTCCCTCGAATGTACGATATCGACACTGGGTGCTCGTGTCTTGTCTGTTACGACTGTGATGACATTTGGATACTCTGTGGAGACTGTCAAGACCTTCTCAGACTCATAGTATTCGTGTGGACGAGTGAATGTAGGCGCTGGAACAGAAGGGGGGATTGATGCCATGCTCGATGGGCGGGACATAGGCGGCGGGGAGACATTGGGAACCAGATGGATAGACGAGACTGCTCGGGAATGTCGTTTCGACTTTTACATTTATTTGGATGAGAATAAAGGAGAATTTAAGAAGATTAACGTACTTTGTAGGCCTGATACGGGACATTAGGTGGTGAATCCATAGCTCAGCTGAGCAATTGGATATACAAAAGGTCTGCAAAGCAACTTGTAGTAAGGTGAACACGCCGTGCGGCCAAGTTGGTGTGAACAGCCAGGATGGTGTACAAGAAAACACGGGACACCTGTCGGAATGGCGACGACCAAAATCAGAATCGTGAGCCCGTCAGGGCACTGGTTGTGCAGCGTGAGCGCCCTCCACCGGCGTCCTCTACAGGAACCGCAGTTCACCGGTGCACAACCTCCCAATAACTTGAAGTGTATTACATAATCGAAGACTGTAACACACATAGATATTAATTCAATCCACATTGACTACAGCGAATAGTACAATATACCAGTGGGCTACATAGTGTTATACACCAAGATTGAAAGAATTGCGATAAGGTACATCTCATAATGACAACCTCACGCCAGGAACATGCCAGCCATTGACACCACTCCCACAATGCCAACCAAGACCCTTGTCCCACGATCATTCATCTTCACTGCACCACTCGACTTGGTTTGTGTAGCTTGTACTCCTGTACTCGTGCTCGTGGTCGAGGATGAGGTCCCGTTGAGTCGGATTGCTTGCGCCTTGAATGCAGCAAAGTTGTTGGCTCCAGACTCGACCGCGTTCACAGAGAACACCATGCCTTGCCCACAGTGTCCAGACTGTTTACAATATACCCAAATTGGTGCAGTCTAAGGCACTCGATGTCAGTACAGGGAGTTATATGATGATAAGTTCCTTACATTATTGATTTGGATCGTATACGTTGGGAAGGTCGTCGCATTAGATGCAACGGCCATGCTAACAGCGCTGTCAGCTCACACATAGCCTAACCGACAAAAACACTTACAATCCAGAATCAAACCCAACTTGTCCACTTGTAGACGTGAGAGTAAGCGAGCGGCACGGATCCGCAAAGGTACTCTGCGTTGCCGTGTGATTCTTTTGCATGAATTGAAACGTGACCGTATCCCCAATTTGTGCAGTAATATTCGATGGCGTATACGTCAGGGTCGAGCCGCCAACAACTACTTTATGATCCGAGCTTGTTCCGCTCGTTGGTGCTGCACTACCAGGGAACGAACCGTAAGTTGTAGTCACAGTCTGACCACCTCCAGTGATAGTCGCGGTAGCAGTGATGACCCCGGTGGGAGCAGTCGTAGTTGCAGTGATCGAAGCAGACAAGGATGAAGAGACTGTGGTATTGCCCATGGCCGCTGCTTGAAATGCAGCAAACTGAGTGCCTGGGTTGATGGCAAAGACCATGCCCTGCTGGCAGTGATTGCCTTGTTTGCAGTACACCCAAACTGGGTTCATGTCCTGCACCGTATATTGTGCTGCAGGGAACGGGCCGTTCGTGTTACTGGATGATACTGGCATGCTATGTACGCCAATCATGATATTTCAGTCTAAATTTATACAACGGCGTGTTCGTGCTTACAAGCCAGAGTCAAATCCATTGGACGCCCTTACACATGGCTGGGCTAAAGTTGATTGGGAAGCCGTATGGTTGGATTGTTTAAAAGTGAAGATGATGGTATCTCCAGGGTTTGCATTCTTCACGTTAATGAGTAATGAATACTGCGAAATTGACTACAGAGACGTACAACAAATTGCGGATCATATCTTAATGGTCCTCCACCAACAGTGACGTTAAACTGGACAGCCTGCGCCAGCGACACTACAGCAAAGGCCAGGAATAAGCTCGAGAACATCGTGATTGGTCAAGGTTGAATGTTTGAAGTGTTAGAAATTGAAATCAAAGCAATTGAGCATCAAGCCCGAAAGTTGAAGCTTCAAGACGCACAGCGACTAGGGTCAGAAGGTAAAGATGAAGACAGAAAAGCTCAGACAGAAAATAACAACACGGCCAACTGCAAGTCTTTTATATGAGGCATTTATGCCAAGGTGAAGTTCCACAAAAAAACAAAAGAGGACAAGATGATCAGATCTCGTTATGGAAGGTGAACAATGTCAACCCATCGCCATGCAACCGATCGTGTTGTTGATAGTATAGGGTAGCAATGCCTGTGTGGGCAGAAAGGAGTTGGACTCTTGGCAGAGCTTGGCAGATGGCAGAATGGCAGAACGGCAATTGGCAGAATGGCAAAAGTCGGCAAAATGTATTGTGAGCCCTAACTATGGCAAAAATAGTTTTGACTACTACACTAAGGCTATACCTGATGAGCATCAATATCATACCCTTCTGGGCGCCCCATCATTTTCTCACAGTTGGTCAGTCCGACCGTCCGTTTCAGCCTCCTGTGGCTCAGGTGTTTGATGATCAACGTTCGATCAACTCCTCATCAGTAATTGATTCTGAACCTGTAAGATAATCCTGGTGATCAGAGTCTGCTGCAACGGGAGGAATCCATGCAAACGAACTTTGAGTCGACTCGGGAGTTGCAGAAGCGGGGACGACACAGTTTAATCATTTTTGGGCGTGCCATCGCACACCGCGGTAAAAGACTTTAGTCGGTGAACTTGAAGGCTACAAAGAATACTGAATACAGACCGGTGTACAACATCCCAATAAAAGGAGTCGAACCCAAGAGTCATTGGCAAAACTGATGCATCATCTTCAGCGTAATATTCCCTGAGGTATACCGTATAACCCTACTTGCTGAACACAGGCTTAAAAAAGAGGGATCAAGGGACTTGTAGTGGGCGTGAATAACAAGCGTGACAAACAGTAGGCATTTAGAATATCATGGTTGCTGTTGTAAGGCAGTGACAGCAAGTTGGTGGAATAATGTAAACTGCGAAGAAGGACAGTGAGGCATCAGGACAGTGACAGAAACAAAATTGGGCGCGCGAGGCAGCAGAAGAATACCGGAGGCGGCGAGTTCTGCATATGCCAAGGGGTGTAGCTGCTCTCTGCCAGTGTCTCTGAGATCTTACCGCTTAATATCCCCTTCTACCGCCTGTTTGCGTCATCGAGTCTCACTTCATGTTCCATCACGGTCCTGCGGCCCTGTGCAATAGTTTCTCGTCGACACTTGCTATTGTGTTCTTGAGGCGAGTGCAGGGTACTGGTGTCGGAAGGACGACAGAGGGTGGCGGGAAGGCTAGACCAATGGTGCTAGAAGTGAAAAAAATGACGGATGCACAGAACTTTGAGGTGACATGAAACAAAAGCGATCGATAACCATGCACACGGAAAACTTGAAAATAGCTCCGGTCACATATACCGGTAGGCTTGGGACCAGAAAATTGTGCTTGAAGTGAAAAATACGTAGTAGGCAGGCTTGATGGCCTAGACCTAATTATTATCTAATACGTCGCACTTCGCTTTTGGGTTCACATGATCTCGAAATGCTACAACGAGTCGGTATGCTAAATTACAGGTCAGTGTACAACATAGGATCCTCAGTCCAATGAATGTCCGCGACATACGATAAAAAGCAGGATAGAGCGTGATCAAAATACATCACGAACAGTCCACGCAGCGCCGCAATAAGTTAGATATAAAGCGGAATCCTTAATGTCGAGGTTGAGTCGAAGAGTCATTTGCAAAATTCATGCACCACCTTGAGCAAAATATGTCATGAGAAACAATCCCCACTTCCTTATCACAGGTTTAACGATATCTTCCCATTCCCTCCCAAAGAATTCACCTTCCTTGACGCGCGTGAATGAGAACACTTCCTTGTGTTTGGTCCCGTCTGTGAATTGGCAAGCTTTAGCACCTGCCCCGTAATTATGCATTAGGTCTAACTTACTACAGTCACGGCAGGGTTTAAGCTCAACCTTTGGCTGACGTGGGATATCCAAAAAGTGGACGTCAGGAAAATTGGGATGCAGATAAGCAGCATGTGTTGCCAGATCCTTGAGCTCGATATGCACCAACCGTTCGAGTTGTTCAGCCATCGGACCCTTGTCGCCCTGGCAATTATTTCTAATGAGCTTCTGTATCGCCAACTCGTCATCATCTTGAGCTTCGATTATGGTCAGAGGCCACCACCCGCGAACATCTTTTATGGAAGAACGACACTTGTTCTTCCACTCTGCGTGGCGTTTCTTGACATCTTTGCTGTACCCAATTTTCAATGAGAGCTTCTCCTCGTTCTCGGGGTCTTGTTAAGGGCTCAGCTTGCAGGTCAACATTTGATGATGGGTCAAGTAAAACCTACCGAACACGTTCAGCGCATATACATAGCCTGGTGTCTTGGATCTTTCCGAAAGATTTCTCGTCATGGCCTTTCGAAGTTTTTTCCGAGTATCCTCTTGCAGATACTCAGGAATATAGTCTATTGAACGTTTAAAATGGTCCAACGAAATCTGCAACAATTGCCTCACCGCAAAAGCGAACAAAAATATCTTGCTGACCGGCGACTAGCTGCACTTTAAACCCCTCATTCTCATTGTGTTTCACGATCCCTACTAGAGATGGAATATGGAAACGACAATAAATTGGTTGGGATGTATCGTTTGTAAGCTGATCGGGGGCAATCGAGACCCACTGTCGACATCGGCGTCCTTTCGGCTTGGATTCGGCATTGCATTGCGCTGTTATGCGGATGGTAGATATGGCGGGTGAGGTGGGGACGACATCGCTTTGAGGTCTGTGCTGATCACAATATTGAGTGGAAGGTTTGACTGAAAGTTCGCATTGAACGGCACGTAGTGTGAGTTCACCGCAGGGTGAACTTGAATTCACATCTGTTACTGGTTGAATGCCACCTAGCAGTGTGAGTCCATGGCACCGCGAATTCACTTCTGTTGTCAATGTTGGTGCGATGGGTGTGGTAGGGGTGTTGTTGCCTTGATACTCATGCTCATGACGGTATTGAATTGGAGGTTCGACTGAACGTCGGCGCTGCAAATTCACTTCTGTCGTCGGTTGCGGTGCTATGGGTGTGGCAGAGGTGTTATTTATTTGATATCCATGCTGGTGGCAGTATTGAGTCGGAGATTTCACTGAATGGTGGCACTGAATGCCACCCTGCGTGAGTCCATGGCATCGTGAATTCACTTCTATTGCCAACGTCGATGCAGTGGGTGCGGTGGGGGTATTAGCACTTTGGGAAGTCGTGCTGGAAGCAGTATCGAGCCGCAAATTTGACTGAACCTGGGCATTGAACGCCACGTAGAATGAATCCACAGTGTTGCGAAGACTTCGGTGCGGTGAGTATGGCAAGGGTATTAGGATCTTGGGAATCATGCTGAAAGCAGTATTGAGCCGGAAGTTTGACTGAACGTGAGCATTGGACGCCACGTAGTGTGAGTCCATGGCATTGCGAAGATTTCGGTGCGGTGACTATGACAGGGGTATTAGGATCTTGGGAATCATGCTGAAAGCAGTATTGAGCCGGAAGTTTGACTGAACGTGAGCATTGGACGCCACGTAGTGTGAGTCCATGGCATTGCGAAGATTTCGGTGCGGTGACTATGACAGGGGTATTAGGATCTTGGGAATCATGCTGAAAGCAGTATTGAGCCGGAAGTTTGACTGAACGTGAGCATTGGACGCCACGTAGTGTGAGTCCACTGGCATTGCGAAGATTTCGGTGCGGTGACTATGACAGGGGTATTGGGATCTTGGGAATCATGTTGAAAGCAGTATTGAGCTGGAAGTTTGACTGAACGTGAGCATTGGACGCCACGTAGTGTGAGTCCACGGCATTGCGAAGATTTCGGTGCGGTGACTATGACAGGGGTATTAGGATCTTGAGAATCATGTTGAAAGCAGTATTGGGCTGGAAGTTTGACTGAACGTGAGCATTGGACGCCACGTAGTGTGAGTCCACGACATTGTGAAGACTTCGGTGCAGTGAGTATGGTAGGGGTATCAGGACTTTTAGGTCCATGCTGAAAGCAGTATTGAGTTGGAGATTCGACTGAACGTTGGCATTGATCGCAACGCAGTGTGAGTCCATGGTATTGCGAATTTACGTAAGCTATTGGTCTCGCAGCAATATCTTGGGATTGACAGCACTGCAAAGCCCTCACATTCACGGATGAATTAGAAGGAGGGAGGCCGGTATACTGGTCAATATGAGGGATGAGATAAGAATCAGGGGCTTTAATCGGTTTTATGCCATTGCATTGTGTCGTAACTGGCTCCGATTTTCTGGTGTCCTGGATGATTTCCGCGTGATGTTTAAAACTTGTTGTGGACTTGAAATCAGGAATTTCTGAGGGCCGAGAAATAATGCTCACATTTCCGAAATCTCCACCACAGCCGATGTGGTTTGAAGAGAGAGACAGAACTCCGATTTAGTCGTCTCTTGCTTATGACTGACAGGTACGAATCGTGGTTTACTAAGACGCGGAGGCGTGTTATCGGGCGTCAAAAGCCCTGGCGAAGGATAACGAGGGTTAGTAGTTGACTGATTGCTGGACCGTTCAGATGAGTTTTCTGAGACGGTCAGCGACTCTGTGTCCTTTGGGACGTCGGAACGTCGTACAGGGGTACGAGGTGGAGAGGTTGGACGGATTTCAAAGAGGCTGGGTCGTGGGCGAGAGTCCGGGGGCGTTACCAGTCCAAATAGTTGTTTACCGCGTGGTGGTGTCGAAGGAATGTTGACTGCCAATGGCGTCACACTAGCGGTCCTTGACATAATGACCGCATCATCGCGATTGCCATCCTCCAGAACACTTGTCCGGCAGTGTCCCTGGTAGTGACTTGTAGCCATGGCAGGATGGTGGGGCGAGAAGAAGAACAAGAGGTATGGTATAAACACACAGTGTCATCCATAAGAAATAAATACCTGGACGGATATATGAGATATCTCGGCAGCGATATCTTATCATCATGATGCCCGCCCAATACTATGCCAACATCGCATCGACACAGCAGGGCGGACAAAAAACGGCAACCCTGTGCTAAGAAGAAAAAGGAGCCTTTGGGACTGATTTCTCATGCTATGCAGAATTCTGATAGACAAATAGCACTGCCCGTGTCTCGTAATCCTGTATTTCGGCTGACCCGACGATCGAATATCTCATTTGCCAGGGACATGCAGGGGAATGAGCAATGTCAGTGTTCCAACTCGCAAGTTGTGTCACTGAGTGCAAAGGCATTTAGTTGTGAAGCAGGGGGCAGACACTTTCTAAACATCCAAATTGGTAGGTCATCTAGAAATTTCGCAAATTATCCACGTCAACTCCAACCGAGAATTATATCGTCCACAGGAGGAATGCCGACCTCAACCACACTCTACCATGATCATGATACAAGTCCGCGGTGCGCCAGATCAAGGTCCGAACAAGAGTCAGACTGATAGTTGTGGGGTGCGGCCCTCCTGGTGCCTTCAGAAAGTGCCCGAACTGGAAAATCAGCGCCGCACAAAGAACGCGTTGCGAGCTTTCCCAGAGCATTCGTACAGAGGCTGGTACCTAAAGCAAAATCAGGACGTTGACTCCGAGTCGGATACAACCATGTGTGTACCGTACACGTACGGAAAAGCTTGCTACAATGAGTCAGACTTGATAATTGTTTTCCGAATCCAACGTATTATCCATGCCAGAACTTAGAAGTGAGGCCTCGAGGCCTTCGAGAGGACGGCATCGCCTGCTGTAAGTCTAAGAGTAGCACAAAAGTGATACACTGTATATGGCATCGAGGTGGCACCCTGACTACTACCAGGACCCCGGAACTCAAAAGTTCAACAACGGCGGTCACGCCTCATAATTATTTGCCTTGTTAATATTTTATCACCTCTAGACACTAACTAATCATGTCACCGTAACAATGTCCACAGATCCTCCAGAAGGATCCCAAGGCACGAAAGTGTCAAGACCCAAGCGCCATGCTCTCTCCTTTTGACCTTCCAACAAATCAATCTCGGACCTCATCAACGACCCGGCCAATACATCCATTGTAGACGAGCAAGCAGCAAGAGCCGAACTACTGCAGCATACCCGAGAGCGCTGTAACTTCCATTCGTTTCACCTGCTAAGTATCCCCGTCAGTTAAGACATTGCGCGCTCCTGGAAAGCAATTGTAATCATGCCAATCCCTTCATTAGAGTTGGCCACGAGCGTATCGTGATATTCTCGGACGCCAATAATAAGGCGTGGTCCGAGCAGAAACATCTGCAAGAAAGAGAAGACTCGAAGAATGCCGAGATATATTTCAGCCCCCACAGAAGTTGACTCCTTTAGAAACGGTGAGGATGGTTCAATGCAAACTGAGATTGACATACTGAGATACTTTGGGACAGTAGGCCGAGGTTTAAGCCAGAAACAGCAGTAAAGCTAATGCATGCATCGTCGGCGGAAGAGACAAACACATCAAAAATGACGAGCTCACGCTGCAAAGTGAAGCATGTGGGTTTTGATCAACACCGTGAAACAGTCCCCGACGACCGAACCTGTGGATGGCAGTTCCCGGAAATGTCTTGCAGCGATGCAGACTGCAAGACACAATGTGAGGACCTCCCATGCAGTGATGATTATCCAATTCTCGGCTCTCATAAGTAGGCTCCACTCCTTGGTAACTGCACCAATGGATATTGGACAGAACGAGTTCTTCTGGAATTCATCCATGAGCTTGATATGTTGAGGTTGTTTCTAAGCTCACCCCCTGAAATATGACCACTGTCCAATACACTCATTACTCCAGATGCGATCGTTTTAGCCAGGAAGGTTAAAACGAGAAAGGTGAACATCTTTCGGGATCGCTGATACATGGCATTTAATCGAGCGATCATAATAACTTGCATGGTGTTTCAGTCAATGCCGAAGTACGGCAGCCGAGTAACTCACCGCCCAGCATTGCATTTACGATGACAGGTATCCACCATTGTACAAGGTAATAAGTAGTGCCTAAAATCCAGTAAATGATGAGCATCATATGGCTCTATTCTTCGAACGAACTCACAGCTAGTTTAGTCATTATATCAATTCGAGAAGTTAGTCGACGATTACACTCACCCCTGTGTAGCGGTGCAGTTAGTTGGACGAGAATCAGACGTTTGTACAGCATACTTACTGCATCTGTCACCGAGAATGACGGAAGTGTTGCTGCACATGATACGGTTCATCAGAAGAAGAAGAAATAAACACAGTTGTACGCTTGCAAAGAGACATACACAGGAGTGCTATGCTGTCCATGAGACACAACTCATTAGCACGGTGCCAACTTGAACTTGTAAGCACTGCGAACATACACACAGTATATTATTCCGGTGTAGCGCACCTAGGGTATGTTGAAGTAAGCACAACTCAGTGTCAATGCGTAAGCTAGCACGTACGCTGATATATAGAAAAGTCATGATGGACCAACGTTTCCTCTGTCCGATTTAACTAAGCGTTGTTCTTCTGATGAGATCTTACTCACCCAGATAAGTTCGAACTACCAGATCATTATTAGTGAGATGGCTGCTCCGGTAACCGTGATACTGAGTTTCCTACCTACCTCCTGTCCAAAAGCCAGTACTGGATGATACGATTAAACATCGATGATTTCTCAAATAAAACATCTTGCTCACCCCAGTCGTACAATACTGCAGTCAAGGCTGCAACTGCAAAATCATGATCAAACATTGGGTAAAACATCGGAATGTTCTCTACAAACCTGTAAAATAGCTGAAAATCGTTTGGAAATTTATTAGCGGCCACATATTGGGATCATCTGAGACTATGGTCATAGTATTCGAGGGACTGGTGTCAGTGCTGCAACTGAGTGAGTGGGGGACTTAATGGTGGACGTATGAAGATGATATGTTCATGCTAAATATAGTATTACCGCTGGCATACAGCGCATTCGTTACCAATACGCGCGGAATGCATGGATAAAGCTGTTCGTGATTGACAGCTTCAGTGGGCTAGTATCTGCCCCACGGGAGAATCTGATTGGGCCTACTATGACTGTCCTGACTGCCTTTAGCTATCATATCCAAGCTGCGGAATACTTAGTCCCGGAAGAAGGCGGCCCCTGCAGGACTTGCTCAGCGCTCAGGATCTGCGGGCCGACTCATTACTCACAAGCAAGAAGAGGACTACTACTAGCTAAGGAACAGGTATCTGCAGACCGGCCCGCACAGGCTTCGTAACGCAATTTGGCACTGAACCACATGCTACGTTCTCTGCCCCCACTACGGCACGCACTGCTTTCAGTCCTCGGTATGACGAGATTCACGCCGAGCAACAACTAATTAAGTGCATAGAGATACACAAGCTAGATATGTGGCCATTATGTAGATCGGATTCAGAGCGGACTTTTACTGACCTATGATAGTTGAGTAAATAAGGAACGTCTTCATTCGTCTATAGTACTTAGTCTGTACAAGGCGAGGCTGAGGGAGACTAGAGCTGTTGTGACAAGTGTCTGTCGCAGTGTTTCGAGTAATACCGAAAGGAAAGATGTGCGCTGTCAGAATTACAAAAGTCCTTTGACAGTCAAATATTTTACCGTAGACACCAAAAGCTCTGATGGAAAGCGTGTCATTCTGGGGCTTGCGCCGTGGACATCAATCGAGGGGTATAAGGCTTCCCATTGACTCCCTCCGAAGGGGTGTTGCATGTGATAGCTCAAGCATAGTATTCCGATACAAATTTGCCCCATTTCTCAATGACGGGTTTCACGAGAAGTTCCCACTCTCGCCCCTTGTAACGTCCCTTCTCGGGACGTGGAAATGCAAATATTTCCCTGTGTATAGTACCACCTGGACCCAGCGTCAAAAATCTACATTGCCGGCATAATAAATATGACAATCGCTTACAATCAAGACAGGGCTTCATCGTAGCCTTCTTCGGCGACCCCGAGGTAGAAGGAGAGGTGTCTGAATTGTCGACTTTCGGAAACTTGGGGTCCAGATATGGTGTGTGGACCACCAAGTCCGCGAGCTCTATATGCACCAACCTCTCCACACGGTGGCACAATGGCCCCGGTTCTCCCGCCTTGATGTTTCCTGTAAGCAGGCTCCCATTAGTGCCGTCGTCGTCACTCTCGTCTTCGACTGTGCCTGGCCACCACCCCCGGACGATTGGCACCTTCGAGCCGCACTGTTTGCCCCATTGATCCAGTCGTTTTGTGAGATTTACAGCGCGCCCGACTTTAAGTTGAATTACACCAGGACGTTTCGGGTCTAACATGGACGCCAAAGATGATGATGTAAATATCAAGAGCTTGGAAACTCATGGCGACGAACCTCGGATTTCGTACGTGTAGATATATCCAGAGACGTCCGAAGTGGAAGCAGCTTTCTCCATTTCGACTCTAAGTGCCAGCTGGGTATCGCGTTGGAGGTATTGTGGTATATAATCTACCCTATGTTGAAGAGCGTGTCAGACGAGATGAATATGGTGCTTACCACTAAATTCTACAAATGTATCTGGCATGCCTTTCTGTCTGACATAGAATCCGGTTTGCGCATGAAACATTGCGTCGCGGTGCTGATGACAATACACGACAGGTATTGGGTCAATATGAGAGTGCGTCGAGGGAAGCTTGACTTGGCGCGAGCATCGCTTCCCGAGTTTTGTCATGCTGCTACATTGTGTGGTGTTCTTGGTCGCCGAAGATGATGATGGGGAAAGGGGTACAGAAATAGCACGCGGTCGAGATTTGGGTGTGATATCGAGCGCTGGACGCGAGCGCATTCCTACGGAGATAGAGGGATAGGCCATGATGTCAAGGGGACGGAGGGAATCCGAGTGAGGATGCGATGGTGGAGTGATGACTGGCAGTGGCTTGGTATTGAGCGCGTGCTGCATCGTCAACGACTGTTTCCCCGTCTGAGGAGATGGAATGGCCACCACAAAGGTAGGCGGCATTGGTAGTGGGGGTAATATGCCCTTACTGTTCGGAGAGGATTGTCCGCTGTGTGTGGGTTGTCGTTTGGTGGCGTCAAGTAGCGCGTTCACTGCCATCTTTTCGGGACTGAAACCTCCTATAAAACTACTTGCCCGATTCCCGTTGGCAGGGAGAGGGTCAGGTAGTCGCTTGCTCTCATTTGGCTTGCCAGCGAGCGCCATGGCATCAAATGTCTGGACGAGATCATAGCGTTTTGGTGGTATCTGTGATGGATATGAATTCATAGTAGTACAGGAAGAAGAGAGGGGCGCAAGGCGCCTGCGGGAGCAAGGCCGTGCACACGAGGAGATCAAGACAATAATGGAAGTCAGCTGCGAGTAGTGTCGTGGGCAGAAAGGAATTGGCCTCTTGGCAGATGGCAGAATGGCAGAACGGCAATTGGCAGAATGGCAAAAGTTGGCACAATGTATTGTGAGCGTTTTTAGCTCTTTTCAGCTATGTTTGTAGACTGGTGACCAGCCCCTCTATGAGGCAAACCGTCGATAGAGGGACTGGTAAATCTGGGTTTGAATTTGGATAGTGCGCGCTTTGGAGTCGTCACATGACGGAAAACCCTGTTCGGGACTTAGACCTTGCTTAGATAAGTCTGCTAAGTTATTCGATCATACATTACAAGTACCGTTGTTCTATGTAACGTCGCTCGTCGTCTCCAGCAGTGATCAGCTTTCATTCCAACTGCTGCGGGGCAGCCTAACGTTTGAGACGTGCTCTATTTATGTATTCTGCCTCAAATCAATCTTTTTTCACTGTGTCTAGTGGTCCTAACTTTCAAGCTCTTCTCGACTCGGAAGGATTCCAGGATGTCTCAAGGATGGCTCGAACGTGACGGAGACCTCTCGGTACTTGCTGAGACTGATCTAAATCGCTCCGTGGACTCTGGCTTTGTCGACATTACCATGGGATCTCCAGCATCAATCCCTACACCGAGTACCAGACGAAACCGGATGTCTACTCACGATCGGATCAACAGCGCACTCCAAACCGGTAGGGAGCCGTTCTTGTATCAGCGAACGAGCAAATGAATCTAGTCCTTCCATCGAGGCTTCCTGCACAGCTTGGATGATAGAGTTCACGACCATTGGAGTTGTAGAGTAGATACATACATTAATGACGCGACCGTGTATACATCGCATCAATATGAATCAAACATTAATTTCAACATTTCAAATATTCACGTCGAAAATTTCAGTTTTCTTATTGGCTACAGGTCATGTGACGACTCCAAAGCGCGCACTATCCAAATTCAAACCCAGATTTACCAGTCCCTCTATCGACGGTTTGCCTCATAGAGGGGCTGGTCACCAGTCTACTATGTTTGTACTATGGCAAAAATGGCCATCAGTGAACCCGTGAGGAAAGTAGATAGCAATAAATAACAATATATAGTACATAATCGCAAGAACTAGCATAATTTTGCTATCGACAATCACATTGTTATGTTTGACCTTATAGAGGAAAGACGCATCCCTGATTATCATATAAAATGTTATGAAATGCCATAACGAAAGGGAGGTTCACAACTCCGAAGCATCAAATAATTGACGTGAAAATATAAAGCTTTACAATGCTTTATCTAATTGCAAAATTTACATGATATCTGCGAGAATGATACTACCTGGAGTAAGTTAGACAGAACTACCAAAAGCGCCAGCATGACAGATTGCCTGCAACAACCTGCCATTTTGTCACCAGTACCAAATTATTCTCATCGTCAGCACTCGTTTTGTGAAGCAAATTAATTTTATTTATATTTAAATACTACATATGTAGTTACAGGACAAAAAGAAAACAGGAAAAGATAGTGGAGAGATGAATGAAAGGAGGAACTAAGGTCAGCAAGGAACCACGAAAAAAGGCCAGCAAGGAGCCACGAGGAAAGGAAAGGAAAGGACCACCATGAACGGCCAGAGGAAGGAACCATGAGGGAAGGACGGACCACCACGAATGGCCAGGAAGGAACCACGAGGAAAGGAAGGGCCACCACGAACGGCCAGGAAAGAACCATGAGGAAAGGCCAGGGAGGAACCACCACGAACGGCCAGGCAGGAACCACCACGAACAGCCAAGGAGGTACCACAAGGAAAAGGCCAGGGAGGGACCACCACAAATGGGAGGAATGAAGATGCTGAGTCGAGAGGTGGTGGTAGTAGCGGTGAAAGAAGGATTGAAAGGAACTTGCATGTAAATTTCCGTCCTGCGCAAACAATGACAAATCAATTTCAACCACTTGCGCTGGTCACATGATTTGAGGTTGTCTGAAAATTCTAAGGTAAAATTTGAGGCTGAGGTGATAGTCACGTGCATGATTTTGGATGACATTGTAATTCACGCAATATTCGAACTGATCTATATAGTTTTGTAAGTCAAAAATAAATGAGGTAATATGATGTTGCTCAACAAACGGTACCTAATTACACTATCATACCTCGCTGGTTGAAGCTCTCATAAGAATATAAATTAGGTTACAAGTGCTAACGGTTCTTTCCACGATAAAGTCTTATATCACTTGGTAGTTTAAAACATAAATGAGGGAACATGGCATGAGTCAACAAATATAACTTAACCATGCTATTGCATATTGATTGCTGCAACGGTGCAATGTTGTAATCTTGTTGCGAACTCCTCATGGTAAAATGAATTTTCAGAGATTCATGGCTATGTACCGATAACTTCAGTAATTGATTCTGAACCTGTGAGATAATTCTGGTGGATCAGAGTCTGCTGCAAGGGGAGGAATCCATGCAAACGACCTTTGAGTCGACTTGGAAGTTGCAGAAGCGGAAGATGGGGATAGAATTGATAGAATTCGGCCTTGATTGCCTTTTTTGTAGTGAGGTAACCACACTGCACGAGCATGCCCGATGATCATATTTTTCAGTCAATTAGATGTTTATCGTGGCTCTCAATAGATAAGTACTGTCGTGCCGAGCAGCAGTTGCCTGTGAAAAAGTAGTGATTTGTTTTGTTTTTGACCAAATTTTGACTTTCTCCCCAGTAACTACTAACAAAGTGGTTGGACACAAGTTTTTGGACAGAATGGCCCTTGGGCTTCTAGGCCACATGTCAAATTTTTATTGTTTTTAGTAGGAACAAATACTATGTCATCGTATTTCTGCCGACTTCTGCCAACCACCCTTGACCTACTGCCGGCAATTGCCGCTTGGCAATTGCCACCGGCAGAATGGCATCATTCTGCCAACAACACTAGCTGCGAGTAAGGCAACACATATGTATGATCTGCGCATTCGGCCTTATCCGTTTGTTGATTGCTTCTTCGTATAAAAAGGTTTATCCAATGACTCAGTTGTTGTTCCTTTCAAACTCCCATCACCCACACGCTCAGGTAAGTCCCAGTGGTTACTTTTGGTGTTGCCATATAAAAGATGAAACGCACTGGGCTCTGAAAAGAAATAGATGTCATGCACTACGCTCCAACTAGTAGAGCGGCGGCCTAGAAAACCGTTAACTGACTTTCATTGTTTTTGCATCCGAACCGATCGATATCGATATTGACTTTTCCCCACAGTCAAATGACACGTGGCCCGCCGCGGCATGCCTGGAGGTGGGATTTGTAGGATTTTCTTGCGCAGTGTGCTGTAGTTTACATGTTGGCTGTACCACATATGATAAATGCGTTGTCTGCCAAAGTTGAAACGTTGACGAGGCCACCGGGTGGGAAGTCGTCAATACAATTTTGAATACGAGCTCACGCCCGTTGTGCCTTCGGCACAAATCGAAGGAGCGCTACGCGCTCCTTCAGGGGAGAAAAATGAGTGTTGTTCCTTCGTCACAGGAAGCCAAGGAGGGCTACGCCCTCCTTTGGCTTCCTGGCCTCAGGCTGCATCCTAATAAATTGTGCATTTTGAATGATTTTGAAATATATTTATGAGCAGCTTTTCAAAGAACTCAAAAGTACAATCTATCACACCACATAAAAGTACATAAGATCAGTCAGTGCTATGTTCTTTGAGCAGGATTTTGACCAATGTAAAAAATACCAAATATGTAACAGTATCATTGAATGTATTTGTTTTCCCATTTTCCCCTGCCTCCCATCTAGGGATCAGCAGGGGTATGGGAAACTTGAGGGTAGGGGTAGGGGTTTGGATCTGAAGACCCCTGTACCCCTGGAAATATATCCCCAAATTGATTACCATAGGAGTGATGGATAAGTATAAAATTTTGAAGTTGTACATTTGCCTTCAAATGGTAATATATGTGATTGGAAAAAGTGTTACCATGGGGTATACCCATGCTAATCCCTACTCCCTGCTCCCTGCTCCCTGCTCCCTGCTCCCTGCTCCCTGCTCCCTGCTCCCTGCTCCCTGCTCCCTGCTCCCTGCTCCCTGCTCCCTGCTCCCTACTCCCTACTCCCGTCTCCCGTCTCCCTACTCCCGTCTCCCATCTCCCGTCTCCCTACTCCCGTCTCCCGTCTCCCTACTCCCGTCTCCCTACTCCCGTCTCCCTACTCCCTACTCCCGTCTCCCGTCTCCCGTCTCCCATCTCCCGTCTCCCGTCTCCCGTCTCCCGTCTCCCGTCTCCCTACTCCCTACTCCCTACTCCCGTCTCCCGTCTCCCGTCTCCCGTCTCCCGTCTCCCGTCTCCCGTCTCCCGTCTCCCGTCTCCCGTCTCCCGTCTCCCGTCTCCCGTCTCCCGTCTCCCGTCTCCCGTCTCCCGTCTCCCGTCTCCCGTCTCCCGTCTCCCGTCTCCCGTCTCCCGTCTCCCGTCTCCCGTCTCCCGTCTCCCGTCTCCCGTCTCCCGTCTCCCGTCTCCCGTCTCCCGTCTCCCTACTCCCGTCTCCCGTCTCCCGTCTCCCGTCTCCCGTCTCCCGTCTCCCGTCTCCCGTCTCCCGTCTCCCGTCTCCCGTCTCCCGTCTCCCATCTCCCGTCTCCCGTCTCTGTTCTCTCAGTCTCCCATCTCCTGTCTCCTGTTCTCCCATTTCCCCATTTTCCTGTCATCACATTCTCTGGTTTTTGAGTCTACATTGTCTTTGTCTCCTTTTTTTATTTGAATCTTATCTCCTGTCACCACATTTGTTATCTCCCTGTATGTAATTGTATCATATGTTGTTCCATTTATGTACATATACAGTCACTACTAATAATTGCAGTAGGCAAAACACTCAAATCCTGTTGTCCCCCTGCTCAAACACATTATTTAATGCCATGTACACATACAGTTACCAATGTTGTTGCGCAACATTCCCAATGGGTGACGTTGTTTGAGTCGCCGCTCGAAATATACATGAAAACCACGCGAGTTTCCAAATAGAAGTTCAAGCGAGGTAAGCGAAAACCATGTGGCCTTAGGCGAATCTAAGCGAATCTAAGCGTATCTAAGAAGTAAAGTACGACGGTTTTCGGAAACGTTCGCGCGCTCGCGTGGCTTTCGCGTATTTCGCGTATTTCGCTTACCTCGCTTAAACCTGTTTTTGGAAATCTCGCGTGGTTTTCTCGCGTGCGCTCGCTAAGACTAAGACTAAGACTATCTAAGAAAAAGTGTGAAAGAAAAATCTGAGAGAAATTTTTACAAGTCCGAAAATACTGCCAAACGCGATATAGTGGACAGTATTACTCACGCCTACTGCGCCGCGGGAATGCAACGGACAAACAACAGACTTTTCCTACTATATGGGAAAGGCATCGAGAATAACAAAAGCAATAATAGAAATTTGATTACACTTTTGGTTACACAAATCATTACACAACTTGGCTGCTGCTTTTGAATAGAATTCTCGAGTTAAACTGCCTTTCCCTGCAGCCAAGTGTAATAAAGTGTGATACACTTTTTGTGGGTATTATTTCTTATCAACAATGATAGAAACTTATTCATCAGTTCAGGCACATTTTTGCACTCGCTAAACAACTGTTTGAATTTAACAACCATGGATGGATATATACCTATTCTGTGAGTTGTTTGCTATGTGCAATGTGCATGATGCTCATATTTTGCACATTAGAAATCCAGAACAAATCACGCCTGAACGTGATCGACACTCCCAACGCGAGCATGACAGGCTCAATCGACTTCAAATGACTTCTCCTACCAGGCGCAATCGTCGTCGTGCTGCCCATGATAATCAGGACAGGCCTCTGCCTCCTGCACCACAGCCAAATTTCATGCCGGCTAATGTGCCACAAGCAGGACCCGTTCCACGACCTTTTGCTTGGCAACCTCCCCCTCACTTTCCCTTCCCTAATCATCTGTGATGAAATTCCAATGTTACACCGCCACATCCTGGAATGCCTTGACCGCACATTACGTGATCTTCTGAATGTTGATGCTGATTTTGGAGGAATAACCATGCTCTTTGGAGGAGACTTCAGACAGACCCTGCCGGTGGTGCCTCATGGATCCAGGGAGCAGATAGTGGGCGCTACCTTTTGCAGATCTCGCATTTGGTCAAGGCTTCATATATTCCATCTCAAGAGAAATATGCGTCTTGGTCAAGATCCCGCTTCTGATGATTTTGCAAGGTGGCTTCTTGAGATTGGAGCTGGTAGGGGCACAAATGAAGATGGAACTGTGACCCTTCCTGCCCGCATGCGGTGTCCCAACAATGACCTCCAGTCTCTCATCAATGCCCTATACTCAAGAATTCTGCTCCCTGATCGTCCTCCCTTAAACGATTCATACTTCCTGGATCGCACCATTCTTTCTGCAAAGAACACTGATGTGGATGAAATCAATGCCACTATCCTCGAATCATTCCCTGGAGAAAAAGCAGTCTTCACCAGTGCAGACTCAGTCACGGAGAGAGAATACGATTACATTCCCCCAGAGTTCCTTCATACCCTCGCCCCATCAGGCTTCCCTTTGCACACATTGGAGGTCAAAGCAGGTGTTCCTCTAATGCTTTTGCGCAATTTGAACCCCTTGCAGGGACTCTATAATGGAACTCGCATGATACTCCTGTCTTGGACCACCCGTGTCCTTAGGTGCCGTGTTCTTAGGGATGGAGACGATGAAGATCAGCAGGTCGATGAGAACACAGTCCTAATCCCTCGCATCACTATGGAATCCAGCTCTGAAGAGAACCCAATCCCCCTCAAGCGTCGCCAGTTTCCTGTTCGTCTTGCATTCGCTATGACAATCAACAAGGCGCAAGGTCAAAGCGTCAAGTGGGTTGGCCTTAATTTACGGACTCCTGTATTCAGCCATGGACAACTCTATGTGGCTTTATCTCGCTGCACCCACCCAGACAGGGTGTTTGCTATCTTTCCGGAGCATGAAGAAGGCTCAAATACAACCAATGTAGTATATACAGAAGTGCTTAGAGGACTCACAGATCGTATCAACGATTGATGTACTTATATATATAGAACTGACTGATCTTATGTACTATGTACTTTTAGTTTTCTTGAAATGCTGCTCATAAATGTACCTCTTTTCGAAATCCACTATCAAGGCGTGATCTTATTCAAAATGCACGATTTATTAGGATGCAGCCTGAGGCCAGGAAGCCAAAGGAGGGCATAGCCCTCCTTGGCTTCCTGTGACGAAGGAACAACACTCATTTTCCTCCACTGAAGGAGCGCGTAGCGCTCCTTCGATTTGTGCCGAAGGCACAACGGGCGTGAGCTCGTCTAAGCGTATCTAAGCGTATCTAAGCGTATCTAAACGAAAACCACATGGCGCTACGCGAAAACCACGCGAGCGCGCGAACATTTCCGAAACCTTTCTCCCTTTCTTCTTAAGACGAGCTCACGCCCGTTGTGCCTTCGGCACAAATCGAAGGAGCGCTACGCGCTCCTTCAGGGGAGAAAAATGAGTGTTGTTCCTTCGTCACAGGAAGCCAAGGAGGGCTACGCCCTCCTTTGGCTTCCTGGCCTCAGGCTGCATCCTAATAAATTGTGCATTTTGAATGATTTTGAAATATATTTATGAGCAGCTTTTCAAAAAAACTCAAAGTACAATCTATCACACCACATAAAAGTACATAGTACTACATACAATCAGTCAGTGCTATGTTCTTTGAGCAGGATTTTGACCAATATAAAAATACAAAATATGTAACAGTATCATTGAATGTATTTGTTTTCCCATTTTTCCCTGCTTCCCATCTAGGGATCAGCAGGGGTATGGGAAACCCTTGAGGGTAGGGGTAGGGGTTTGGATCTGAAGACCCCTGTACCCCTGGGAATATACCTCCAAATTGATTACCATAGGAGTGATGGATCAGTATAAAATTTTGAAGTTGTACATGTGCCTTCAAATGGTAATATATGTGATTGGAACAAATGTTACCATGGGGTATACCCATGCTAATCCCTACTCCCTACTCCCTACTCCCTACTTCCTACTCCTGTCTCCTGTCTCCCGTCTCCCGTCTCCCGTCTCCCGTCTCCCGTCTCCCGTCTCCCGTCTCCCGTCTCCCATCTCCTGTCTCCCGTCTCCCGTCTCCCGTCTCCTGTCCTCTGGTTCTCTGGTTCTCCCAGTTTCCCATTCCCATTTTCCCGTCCTCCCATTTTCCAGTTTTTGAGTTTCTAAGTGATCTTTTTCTCCCTTTTTTATTTTTTTTTCATAACCTTCTGTCATTCATCTCCCAATCTCTTTTATCTCATATTTGTTTTCCCCCTGTCTGTCATTGTATTATATGTTGTTCCATTATTTGCTCTATGTATACTACCATAACAATTACAGTAGGAAAAACACTCAAATCTAATCACACATCTCCCTTGCCCTGCTCAAACACATATTTTTTCATTATTTAATGCCATGTACACGTACAGTTACCAAGGTCGTGCTAAGTTCCCAAAGGGCGACGCTATTTGAGTCGGCGTTCGAAAACACGTGACAAAACCACGCGAGCTGCCAAATCGAGGTTAAGCGAGGTAAGCGAAAACCACATGGCCTTTGGCGAAATACGCGAAATACGCGCAAACCACGCGAGCGCGCGAAAGTTCCCGAAACCGTTCTACTTTACTTCTTAGACGAGCTCACGCCCGTTGTGCCTTCGGCACAAATTGAAGGAGCGCTACGCGCTCCTTCAGGGGAGAAAAATGAGTGTTGTTCCTTCGTCACAGGAAGCCAAGGAGGGCTACGCCCTCCTTTGGCTTCCTGGCCTCAGGCTGCATCCTAATCAATTGTGCATTTTGAATGATTTTGAAATATATTTATGAGCAGCTTTTCAAAAAAACTCAAAGTACAATCTATCACACCACATAAAAGTACATAGTACTACATACAATCAGTCAGTGCTATGTTCTTTGAGCAGGATTTTGACCAATATAAAAATACAAAATATGTAACAGTATCATTGAATGTATTTATTTTCCCATTTTTCCCTGCTTCCCATCTAGGGATCAGCAGGGGTATGGGAAACCCTTGAGGGTAGGGGTAGGGGTTTGGATCTGAAGACCCCTGTACCCCTGGGAATATACCTCCAAATTGATTACCATAGGAGTGATGGATCAGTATAAAATTTTGAAGTTGTACATGTGCCTTCAAATGGTAATATATGTGATTGGAAAAAATGTTACCATGGGGTATACCCATGCTAATCCCTACTCCCTACTCCCTACTCCCTGCTTCCTACTCCTGTCTCCTATCTCCCGTCTCCCGTCTCCCGTCTCCCGTCTCCCGTCTCCCGTCTCCCGTCTCCCGTCTCCCGTCTCCCGTCTCCCGTCTCCCGTCTCCCGTCTCCCGTCTCCCGTCTCCCGTCTCCCGTCTCCCGTCTCCCATCTCCCGTCTCCCGTCTCCCGTCTCCCGTCTCTGTTCTCTCAGTCTCCCATCTCCTGTCTCCTGTTCTCCCATTTCCCCATTTTCCTGTCATCACATTCTCTGGTTTTTGAGTCTACATTGTCTTTGTCTCCTTTTTTTATTTGAATCTTATCTCCTGTCACCACATTTGTTATCTCCCTGTCTGTAATTGTATCATATGTTGTTCCATTTATGTACATATACAGTCACTACTAATAATTGCAGTAGGCAAAACACTCAAATCCTGTTGTCCCCCTGCTCAAACACATTATTTAATGCCATGTACACATACAGTTACCAATGTTGTTGCGCAACATTCCCAATGGGTGAGGTTGTTGGAGTCGCCGCTCGAAATATACATGAAAACCACGCGAGTTTCCAAATCGAGGTTAAGCGAGGTAAGCGAAAACCACATGGCCTTTGGCGAAATACGCGAAATACGCGAAATACGCGAAAGCCACGCGAGCGCGCGAACATTTCCGAAAACCGTTGTACTTTACTTCTTAGATGTCGCGTGCTGATAACGCACAAAAATTTCCTTTTATGATTTGACAACTTGAAATTTTAAACTTCACTGCGCAACTGCATTGGTTGATTTTGTCATAACCCCTCCTACAGATCTGGAGTCTACTTTCTAGTCCAACGACCGCATCGTATACAGCAACGAGCTGCACCATCCTGCTGGAAATGGCGGATGCACAGGTCCTTTGCGGCATACTCGAGGAAATGACTTCTAGCATGTCATCAGTGCGAGAATTGCTCCAACAAAAGTAAGAGTTTGCATTCATGATAGTCCAACTCTCATTGACCTTGCTCTAGATCAAAATCTGAAGATGACATGGATATGAAACACGGAATATCTCTACTTTCCCTCAAACACCATCTGCTTTTGTCGTACTTACAATCACTTGTCCTGCTCTCCGCACGCCGAGCAACTGGTGACTCATTAACAGAGAGAACATCGACCATGTCCCCTTTCAGCACGGTTGATCGAGAGGCGCGGGGCTCTGGCGCTGGTGATTTGGTCGACTCTTTGATAGAGGGTCGCGTGGTACTCGAAAAAATAAATGTCCTGGAAAGCAGGATGCGATACCAGATCGAAAAGCTGGTTAGAGTGGCTGAAGAAGTGTCTTCTGGCAAAGATGTGGCTGAAGGTGTGTTTTTAAAGCTGTAATAACAACTCCTTGCTGATATACCTCTCAGATCCCCTCGCCTTCCGTCCAAACCCTCAAAACCTCGTCGACAACGAGCGGCACCCCGACGAGGACCGAGATGCCCATCCCAACGCCGAAGACCCCGATGGGATATACCGCCCTCCCAAGCTCGCACCCATGCCCTACACGACAGCCGCCGACAAGCGTTCTACACGACAACCTGTCCCTAAAGCACTCTCCACCCTCCTCCACCAAGACCCCTCGCGCCCGCATGTCGAAGGTATATCTGGCCTGGGCTCGATGCCCTCCTTCGCGTCCGACCGCGCCCGTGAGATCCAACGTATCAAGGATTTCGAGGAAGATAATTTCACTCGGTTAGTGATGAAGAAAACCGAGGCGCGCAGGCGACGAAAGGACGAAGAGGATTTGGCACTCGGAGGTACGGGAGCCGGAAAGGGTAGGAAGAGAGGCCGAGGCCTGGAGGATGAATTTGCGGATGTGCTTCACTCAATCGGGCGCACGAAGACGGGAGTGCTTGGCGATGGATATGAAGAGCTAAGGCAACGGGGTAAAAAAAGCGATGCCTTATCCAGATCGCGAACTACATGGAAGGGGGATCTTGAGGATGCAAACAATGACGAGCCGCGAATGAAGAAACGCACAAGATTCGAGAAGGCAAAGACGACTTTACACAAGAAAATGAAGGCAAGGAGATAGTTTTTTTTTTTCCTTTCCAAGTTCCTGTTATGTTTTCTGTACCATCCCAATGACCTGGTCATTTTGAATCAAGGTTCAGCAGATGCAGACAATGAATTCCTCTCTTAGATCAACGTCGACCATAGTTCGGGGGCCATGTTCGGTTTGTTATACCTCGTCGAATTAGCCGCCAACTACACACTTGCAAGAAGTAGTCACGGCTTCCGTGCCATGATGTTTTATTACGCATCAGCATATAGTTGTCAGTAACAGCAAAAGGCTCCAGCTATGGACGGGCCGAGATAAAGTTTCGATAACTTGACAGGAAATGCTAACAGCGAGTATTGCAGCATTCGAGGTGGTGAGGGCAGGGCACTAACAGGGGTAGGATGGTTCATGATCGAGGAACATGGTGAGTGATAATGAATGATATGTATAGCGTTATCAAAGCGACGAGCTCGAGTACATCAATGAAACATCTAAAAATCATCTTCATCATCAAAGTCTCGCCTGCGCTGGTACTAGTTGGTAATCATGATCAGCAATCTTCCGTCTCAAAGGTTATGTCAGTGATGTGGTCGAATACTCACTACTATCGTGGTCTTCGTAGTTGACTTGGACCGTGCGTCCTCCATCTAAATACATTACATCCAGCACACTGTATGCACTTATACGAGAAAGATTACACACCTGATCAAGAAGGTCAATCAACTGCTGCTCGCTCACACGTCCCCGCAGCTGTCCTGACTGAGCCATCCGCATAATGATGGTCTCGACTTGCCGCGATCTGTCCGGGCTCACAAGGGCGATGCGAGACACTTGGTAGTGAATACAAAATGGCGATATTGAGTACGAGAACTAAGCCAGAGACAAGGAGTACGCACATCGCTCTCGGGCAGCACTGTCGAGGATGGTCGCCATCATATCCCGGCGCATTTCATCTTCAGCTACCTTCCGCTTTGACTCCTCTTCTGCTGATACATTTGGGTTTTGTGGTGACAAGCCCTGTAGATTTTCCATGGATAGGTGTTTGAAGTTGTGAAAGTTATTGTAATAGGGATCACCGGTCAGGATGAGATTAGATATGGGAACTATTTGGTGAATTGCTTCCGTTACATCAGACATTCAATGACGAAATTGTATAGATATATAAAGAATTATCATAAGTAAAATTGCTACAATAAGTGCAATAATGATAGGTCCCATTGTCAAGCTTTACATGGTAGGATGGACATGGCAGAACTCGCAAGATATGCAGGGATGAAACTTCACTGTCAAGCTTGATACACCGACTGCCATATATGTGCATTAGGCAATTATGATGCGGTCACCAACACTAGTATCTACATATATCTACATATATAATGGACGGCTTTTTTTATGATTCACACAAACGACATCAAACAGACATAGTATTATAAAGGTGTGCCGGTCCTTTGCAATTGTGATGCTTCACCAACATTAGTATATATAAATATAATGAATGACTATCTTTGTGACTCACACAAATGACATCAAACAGACATAGTATCATAAAGGTGTGCCGGTCCTTTGCAATTGTGATGCCTCACCAACATTAGTATATATAAATATAATGAATGACTGTGTGATGCTTCACCGACATTAGTATCTATAAATATAATGAATGACTATCTTTGTGACTCATACAAATGACATCAAACAGACGGAACGACATCAAACAGACATAGTATCATAAAGGTGTGCCGGTCCTTTGCAATTGTGATGCTTCACCAACATTAGTATATATAAATATAATGAATCACTGTCTTTGTGACTCACACAAATGACATCAAACAGACGGAGGTTGTGTCTGATCAGCACAGTATTCACTACTCGTTGTCTAGCATCACCTTACTGGTAAATTTGGGACAAGAATCTCAAAATGATGTATGCTGCATCTGTTGTATAATGCAGATAATGTATTGACCAAGATGCACGGACTGCTACTGTTGGTAAAAACATATCCATACAGTTTCAGTCCGATGCTGGGTACAATCATTTCTGCGGTGTTTGTCTCAAGCTACTCACATATGCACGATCGTTTGTTGTAGCAGAACATAGATTCTCTGGCTAGGTACAATCAACTATTATGTGCTGGATTTCTGCTACATACTGCCGCTACTACCATCAGGGACTGAACCCGGCTCTTTCATTCGTGCTCGCTTCTCCCGAATCCTCGCCAACGCACTGTTCTTCACGAGAGGACGCTGGGCGCTCGAGTACGAAGGGAAAATTTGCCTAAAAACATGAGTATCCTCAGAATAGAGATGTCGAGTTTTCAATCACCTATTCCACCAGACAACTAGGTCATCTACCTCTTGTTTCTCATCCGGGTCTTCGAACACCTCCAAAATGGAGTTGTAGAACCTTTCCGAGTCAGTGACCGTGTCCGTACGCGAGAACACGGGAGATGAGGTTAGCGAAAAACGGACCTGAAATGTATACTCAGTATAGATGTACGGATGCGAGCATAGACACACCTGTGTTGCAATGTATGCAATGGAGGGTAGAGTAACTCTGGTCATCCCATGAATCCGAGCATTACCTGAACGAGTGGCCTTTGGTTCTTTATCCACGGAGCTGGGGGACGTGAAAACGTGTTTATATGCCTGTGACTTTAGTTAGAATGAAAAAAAAAACATCGCGAAGTTTCGTATCGTACAGAAACTAATAAGGCACTTCGTAACAGACCATTCCATGGATCCTCGGGGTCGTAATGATAGTCAGCGTACAGAAACAATGGCCACTGATCTCCGGTCACGATAATCTCGCCATTTCGTAGCTTAGTTTTTGTCCTGTATTTCTTTAGTATGTACGTCAAGGAAACAGACATATGAGATACCCACTCTGCATTAGACCAGTCGAGGCCAGCTGGACAAAGCAAGGCACCTGTCCGTTCGTGATGGAAACCACGATCGATTTTCACGTTGCGAGCAAGAGGAGGAACAAGACTCTGCCCCTTAGGAGTAATCCAGTCGAGGACGCTGCCTTTGAGGCTCTTAGTATCGTCACCCCTTGCGCCAGATGCACCTTTGGTGAACTTATGATATGTAAAATGAGAGGCTAAGTTGAAGACGTAGAAAACCGAGATACTTGCCAACTCAGCGACAGCGTCAACTTCATCATCTCCGCCTTGCATCAGGCGTTCTTCCAGCCCTGCCACAGATTTGAGGAGCTCTTGAAAGATACGATGCTCGCGCCGTTCCCTTAAAAGGTTGAATTTGATGCGTACAACTCTGCAGAAAAGTGACGTACTCTGCGGTAAAGTTTTCCTCTGGAATCTCGGCCAATTCTCCCATCCGTAAAATTCCATTCGTAAGAAGGGCTTGAAAGTTGCAGAGAGCGTGGATTGTTCGCCCAAAATGACGGCCATAGTGTACCAACGGGTCAGTTGCGCTCCTGTAATAAGATTGTGATCATCAGTGGCAATTAATTTCTGCAGATAGAGATACCCACGGTCTTTTCCTGGGACCCAGTTGAAGGGCATCGACTGATTTACGACGTTGACTGCACTGAGATTCCTGCGCCTCAGACATGGCGGTGG